TTAATATTTGGGGCTGCCCTGCCCACATTAAGAGACATAACTCCGATAAGTTGGAATCTAGGATGGAGCGGTACAAGTTCGTGAGATACCTTAAGAAAACTTATGAGTGTTATTTCTATCACCCCGAGGATCAAAAGGTCTTTGTAGCCAAGAGAACAGTGTTCCTTGAGAAGTAATACATTCTTGGTAGAGACAATGGGAGCGTGATAGAGTTAAGCGAGGTTGGAGAACCTAGCTCAAGCACCATTCCACAGCTAGATTTTGTTCAGTTACCTAGAACATAAGTTTCAACTTTACATAGGTTTGGTAGAGTATCCTATCCTCTTGAGAGATATATGGTAAATATCAGAGGAGAGAATGTTAAGGATATTGATACTCAGACCTACGAGGAGACTATTACGAGTATAGACTCTAAGAAGTGGTAAGAAGCCATGAATTCTGAGATGGATTCTATGTACTCCAACAGGGTTTGGAACCTAGTTCATACACCTAAGGGTACTGTACCCATTGGTTATAAATGAATTTTCAAGAAAAATATCAGAGCAGATGAAAATGTAGAGACCTATAAAGTAAAGCTAGTGACTAAGGGGTATCGTCAAAGGCAATGCGTTGACTATAACGAAACATTCTCATCTGTAGTCATGTTAAAATCCATCTGAATTCTATTGGCTATTATAGCACACTATGATTATGAGATTTGATAGATGAACATGAAAATCGTGTTCCTCAACGGCAACCTCGATGAGGTGTATATGATATAGCCTAAGGGATTCGTGTCCAAGGATAATCCAAATAAAGTATGTAGGTTGCTTAGGTCCATCTATGGACTAAAGCAAGCTTATCGAAGTTGGAACATAAGATTTGATGAGGCGATCAGATCTTATGACTTCGTTAAAAATGAAGATGAGCCTTGTGCTGATCATAGGTGTCCTACAAGTCAATCACATGAGCGATGACACATGTGACATGATATGCATTCTTTTTGTTTATTATATTATTTGATATTTTATCACTTTATATTGCTTGTTGCATGAATATATTGTGATATCCATGGATCTATGCAATGAGAATTTGATCGTGATGAGATCACGATAATAAGACTGATTTGCCTTTAAATATAGATCCTAAATAATCCCGGTCATAGGTTGCTCGAGAGGGACATCAAGATAACCGGACGGATTAGTGTACTGTATACCCGTACATATGATGGAAGCAGCTTGTCTCATAGCTGCATGTGTGAGGACATTGGGGATAGAGTGCATGTGCTCATTGGAGAATGAGTTCACTGATTGATCCACCTACGGAATGATGAATGGTTAATGATGTCATATTATCAAATAACGATTTCTGTAATCTCAATGGTGTATTTAATCCTTAGACCTAAGATATCAAGGATGTCCTGTATGAGTACTCTACTCTTTGATACCAGACTTATAGGTCTGGAGGTTCCAGATCTAGCACAACCGGTCATCGAGAGTGATAGCCAACCTTATGAGGGCTATTAAGTGTCAATAGATGATCATCCACTCTCAGTGTCATGAAAGAAATATCTCATGTGTTCTTGCTCAAACAAATCCCTAGCTAGGATCATTTGGATTGAGAGAAAAAGAGTTCTCCGGGAGAATCCGATTAAAGCGAGACTCAAGGAGAAACCGTATGGGCCTGACAGTACCATGCCCGGTATACAATCTCTAGGATATTAGATGGATGAGGAACTATAGGTACATGATAACTGAGGACAGATAGGTCTAAAGGATTGGATTCACATGTATCGTCTAGGGACTACGGTGTAGTGGCATAGTACGTCCGTAGTTGATGAATCGAGTGAATTATTATGGAGATAATAATTCACTGAGCTAAAAGGAGTTCTGACATATATGACTCATGGATAGCTCGATATTGGGCCTAGAGGGTCACACACATATGGTAGGTATTGCGATGAGTAGATGTTCGGATATGAGGTATCCGTTGGAACCCTTATCTTATTGAATATCCATTAAGCCCATGAATTATTGGATCATATAGATGAGATCCAATAAGAGCTAATAAGAAATTATTGGATAGAAACTCACTAATCTAATAAGCTTGGGTAATTGGATAGAGATCCAATACCCAATAGGGTAGGATTCATTAAGGTTAAGTTGACAATGGGCCTCTATAAATAAGAGAGAGACAAAAGATCATAGGTTATGGTTTTTGGTTACCACCTCTCATTCTCCTCTTCCCTTCTTCTCCTCAACCAATAGGTGTGGAGATTTGGGTAGTGATTTGAGGAGCATCTTCGCAGCCCTTGTCGTGTAGATCACCGCTAGAGAGAATGACGCTTGACCTCATTCATCCTCTCCCACAGATCTACAAGAATTCAGGGATATACGATCTCCCTAGGTAACATAACTATCTCACACTTGGTTTTCAATTTCATGGGTTTTTACGTATCAATTTTTGCACGACGATTAATACCTTTTGGGAAATTTAGGATTTTTATTTTATGTTCTTTCGCTACGCATATGATGTCACCCCTATATTTCCCTACAGGATATTATTGTAAACACATAAACTTAAACCACTACACATGCATATCAAGTCTAAAATTTACATATACCAAATATATCCACAGGTCGTCATTTATATCTACCCTAGCATGACTATACATCTTTCCACCTCTCAAAGACAAACGACCTATATCTACCCTAGCATGACTATACATCTTTCCACCTCCCAAAGACACCATACTAATGAACTACTAGTGTATTTACCTATAAAATAGGATCTAAAATGAGTGATAACTCAATAAATATAAAATTTTAATTTAATATATTAGGGTGAAAATATATCATATCATATTTGTAACATTTTAAAGTTGCATGCATTAAATATTTCATTATGAACGCACTTTCTTTATAGCCAATAACCTTGCAACACGAAGGATGCATAATCAAGAGGCAGAACTTTATTTTAAAATAAGTCATAATGAGTAGGTCATAGCACATGTAATATGCAATTATTATTTGTCCATGACCTTCTATATCACATATCGGTACGTGTATTCTCACACCGTACGTCCAATATATAAATGCATAAAGTATTTCATAATATGATCAATATATAATAAAAAGTAAACTTTTGATTTAAAGTAAATTAGAATACACATATATAAGAATAGTTTATAAAATATGATATAGAAAATCATAATAACTTTTATATTATATTTAATAATAGATACATGCACTCCCATACGTCATGTATACAAATGAATAAAACTTTTTATGACATATGTATCATAATATGATAGATACATAAGAATTAGGTAAAATTTTGCTTTCAAATAAATCATAACGCTCCCATTTAAGTAAATTCATAGTGTAAGTAATGAGGAATCATAATTCGTTCATGAACTTTAGCATCACATATTATAACATATACAAATATTCTCGTATCGCACATCATGATATATACATGTATGTCATAATATATACGTGTATCACGCATTATATCATATCCATGCATTCTCACATCGCACGTAATCATATCGCATGTTATAATATGTACATGCACTCTCGTATGAATGTGATAACATATGTGTACTGTTATACCGCACATTATGATATAGATTTATGTATTTCAATCAATTTCAATTCAATTTATATAAATATATTCTTATACAATGCATACATTAACATAATATGCTTAGAACTATCTCATGATAATCATCTTATTCATATACATTAACATCATATATAAAATTCATATACATCATATCATATGTATGGGAGGATTCTAACTCCTCGAGGTTTGGCCAACTTGACCTTGTGAAGTTTTCTTGAGATATGATTTGCCCTCCTACTGCTAATTTGTTAGAGTAGATTTTGGTTATCAAACTTAGAGGCCGAATCGGATCTAACCTGATCCTTCTCCTAGCTAACCTCAAGCGGAAACCTTATCGAGTCATAATGTCCAAACCCTACAAAACTGCATCAAAGGATGCCCAACAAATGCCCCTCTAAAATTCTAATCGGACAGGCTGGATAATAAGGATCAATGTGTCAAAATATACTTGGGGGCTCCTTTTTATAATGGTGGTCATTTGCAATCATTACATCCGCTCAATTACATAGTTCGTACAATAATGGAAGGCGTGGAGTATAACCATAACTATCACCATCTTCATCTTGTGTCGAACCCGAGATTGTTGGGTTTCATCCGCGTGGCACTCATCTAGTGTACTTAGCAGGCCTCATTAACTCATCGACCGTTTCAAGTCCAAGTGGCAATCATGATGGGTAGCTAGTTGATATGTCCTTCAACTGAGGTGTCGCCACATCAACGTAAGTGGTCGATATGTCGACCACATCATTTCTCTCTCTCTCTCTCTCTCTCTCTCTCTCTCTCTCTTATATATATATATATATATATATATATATATATATATATATATATATATATATATATATATATATATATATATATATATCTCGTTGATCAAGCCGCTTAACAAATGATGTGTAGACACGATAATAAGGGGTAAAAGTAACCACTAACTACAAACAATTGGGAGTTCGAAAAACCTTTAATCTGAAAATTTAAGAAAAAATATATAAAATCATATCATTAGGGTTTAAAATTAAACATTCTCAGATAGAAGGCATCATGATAAATAAAGTGGTAGACTACAGTATCAGCCAAGTCTAAGAACAAGAAGTAACACTTACAATAAGAGTAAATCAGACAATTTCAACGCTGATCAACATGGGCAGCTGTGAAAAATTTAGGAAGCTAAACATACACCAGTCTCTAATTTATGCCATTAATCTTTACCAAGAGAAGAGTTGGTATGCTTATGCGTTCAATATGACAAGGGAAGAAATATCAAATCCATATACTAGGGTGGATAAAAACATCAAAATATCATACCGCAGCAGGGGTACATAAAGCAAAATACATCGATCTCTTTTACATAATACTACAATAAACTCAAATAGTATTAATGTGTCACAGTCGAATGAATTAAATTGCATCAGTTGTTTCTTATATAAATTTTGGAGTCAGCAATCCATATGTTCACTAGATTTTTACTAACAGAGACGTGAAGCCAGGTCTATGTCCATATCAAAAGAAAATACAATAGATACATAAAAATAAATATTTTTTTAAAAAAGGATAACTGGACTTTTTGACATCATATCTTTCTGATCATTAGCTTCGGCGATTTGTTCTTTTAAGTTTCACGTCCTCTTAGTTTCAATAAAAAGGAACTAACTAAGAAAAACAAGAATTTATACAGGAAAAAAGAAAACACCTGATACATCATCTATTTTCCCTTGCTCAAGGCTTTCCTCAGCCCTTTTAAAATTTTCCCAAACCATATTATGTTCATGATGGCCAGTGCTGATGGTACCACAAAAATTAGGAGGTAGCCAAAGCTACGCATTTGCCTGACCTGCCAGAGGTTTAAAACAAAAAAAATCAAGCTACACCAAATTTAAGTCAATAAAAGCAAAAAAACACATACCTGATCATAATGCAGAAAAATGTGGTAAAACAAGTAGATGAACAATAAAATCCTTGCAACCTATGACAAAGAAAAGATGAACTGTCATCAAGGTTACATAGACATGACATAACGACTTAATGGACTGAGAATGCAAGATCACATCATGAAGAAAAGAAAAAGATTCACATGAAAATTAAAAGAAATGTGTTATGCAGCTAAAATAAAACTGTGTAAATATTTGTTTTGGCAGACTCCTGATGTCTGAGTTTTGGAATGAGGTAGTACGTACAAGGTGATGCAGCATTTGGTGAACAAAAACAATTCGTCAGTGTCATTATGGTTATTTATATTTTAACAGTTTCCCTGATGGTGTAGTACCAACACTGCATCGCATTAGATCCTTGTTTATGTTCAACATCATTTACAGTGTCTGATAGCAATTTAAGCCCAAAATCTTTTTTTCATAAATGAGCAACACTAAGTGCTCCTTGTCTCCTTAAGGTGCATGCTTTGCCTCACACCTGTTCCCAGAATCTAATGCACCTTGGGACATAATTGCACCTCTTGGTTCTGCTATAATCTTTTCCCTTGTTTTACTTATTATATATGTTCCTTAGCATAGGTATTAGGAATTAGATAGCTCTCTATCTGTAATGTGTTTTTTAGTTTAAATTTTGTTATTTCATCTAAATTTGTGATGCTTCATGAAAGTGATAAGAAGAAGCACATAATTGTTAAAGCATGTTCATAATTCATATAACAGTTATGGTCCCATGGTTACAGAATGAGTACATAAGCACTGCATGTTAATAGTAACAATATCTAATCTAAATGGTACTTCATATTAAATGGGAAAACACATCCCATAGTGGCTGCATAATCTGGAATCAGTGACGAGATGGCTTTAAGAAAAAGCAACAGGTACTGCCATTAGGTCATGTAACAAAAACTAGCTATAAATCAAGAAAGGATTGCTTTTGGGTTTAAAACTAAAAAAAAAATTGTTAATGATTTAGTGTAGCAGATCAAGTCAGACTTCCCACTTACCAGCCATGCCAAGAACACCATGGCGCCATTCACAACATAGGCTTGAGACCTCTTCATTCCTGCAGTGTCAAGAAACCTTGACAAAGCAGGAAGCTTAAGAATTAGAAATTAGGACTTCCAAATATGTTACAGGCAATTTTTTATTGATTTTGGAACATTTACCATCGCAAATTAATTCCCGGGGTAGTTATCTCAGAGATAAGGACCAAATATGTGTAAAACTGACCTTCCCCAGACAGCATGGTGTAAGCAACAGCAATCACTGAAAGTGTATGGTGGAGAACCTGAAAAAGCTTTCATCATTTATGGAGAACTTGAAAAGTCAAAGATATCACTACAAATTTGGTTAAAATTGGGGCAATTATAAGAATTTAGCAGAAAGTTTCTAACATGAGCAGCGTATATTTCCGAAAAATAAAAGATCATGATCAAACTGAATGTGACAGGATCATGTTCAGTGAAATGAGAAAATGTCACTTTAAAATTTAAAACATGACTTACATACTCCATTCCACCGAGTGAAGGGTATGACCAAGCTATCATAGCAAGGTCTGCAAGAAAATACCCAACAGAGACCTGTTGCATGTGACAGTAAATTCACAACAAGCAGATTACTCAGGCTGAAATAAAAGATAGATACAGATTCTTATAAAATAATGAAATTTGAAGTTATTACCCCCAACCCAAATGTAGAGAGAGATGAACTTCGGAATGTAATGGGTAGGTTGATTGTATTATCAGAGAAAAGATCGGAGCAGAACACCAAGTAAATTGACATTATTGTTACAAAGATAGCATGGATGCTAGACATACCCCTGCATGTAAATTTTGATATGATACTCATAATCACAGTGAGACAAACAAAAAAGATCTGCATAGAAGTCAACTACAAAATACCGATTATTCCAATCAATCCGTTGGATCTTTGTTAGGGAACTGTAACCCTTGAAGTAAAAAGAACTGATGAACTGGGTAAAATCATATGCCTGTAAAATGAACAAATGGACATCATTATGAATTGTGTATGCTTCACTAGATTCCAATAAAAAAGAAGAAAAAGCACCAGATTTTTATCATCACATATAAAGATCCCTACACAGAACTCAATAGTGGGAAAAGATCCATGTAGCCAACAAAGACATGGATTTGCAACAAAGTCAGAAGTGAATAACAAAAGTACTCGACACTAACTTGAATGGATGAAGACAGTTTCAGCAAATCACATATTTAATCTCTGTTATAATGTTTGTGAAAAAGAACATAAAAGCCCCCTAGCTGGTGATAAGCATTAATGTCTTAGTAGAAATAAAGAAAGAAGCTGTCCACCAAATTTTGTATTTGAGTGGGCTCAGCAAGCATGACTTTTCTCTCTCTCTTTTCCAATACTTATCATGCACATTTGAGTATTTTGACATGACACGACCTGTTTTAAAAGCTATCATTTTCCACAAGTTTTACTCGTGGATTTGCTTATGTTTCAAGGTAGTAAACATGTACTAATTGAATTTAACTATTTCAAGTTTTGCTTGAATTTTGACAACTCTTTTCAGGCATTTTGGAACACTTTTACATGTTGTACTATAAACTGTGCTCATACAGCAAAAGAAGCTAGATTTAAAGGTATGCAAGTGGAACATGTATAGATATTAGATAGTATACATGTTTCCACTTTTCCAGATTCCAAGTGGATAATTATGAATCATCAATGAATTTTGCAACATTATCTTCATGATAAGAATCATTATCAAACCAAAAACAAAAGGTACTTCTATCACGAACATGCAGCAGTACTTACCATCTTGCAGAGAAAAATGCCACCTAGCACCGAAGTATATGAAATGTATGGATCTGCCAGCAAGTAATTCTTGACTAGTAACTCTGCCTGATACCTGTAGAACTTTAGTGCCATAACCAGATTCTGGAAAATCTGCAGCCAAACAAGTACCCCGTTAGTGAATTCCTACAAGAGGGAAATGTTGAAGCGAGACAAAGAGTTATAGAACATGATCTTAGAAACCATAGGAACTAAAGAAGAACAGAACAGCCAGATCTCCACAAACCAAAATCCTGATCAGGATAACCTAGTTGCAGACTTATTGCAACTACTACAGTCTATCGAACAAGACATCTGCAACACTAGGGGAGTACAACTATAGCTGAATAGTTCCAGCCAAATCTGGCATCGGTCAGTGGTCATCATACTCAACAGATAGGATTAGCAATATTATCTTTCCTACCAGAAAGTGATTCAGAAGCATAAGGCCTCTCTCCATGGTGAACAGACTTAACTCCTCAAGAAGTGTCTTTAGACATGAGGGTCATCAAATTATCGCAACAAAAAATGGTTTTAGTTCTTTCTTTTGAGCTGGGCCCAAGAAATGTGTAGCAATAGAAACAAGAATAACTGTTGTCAAACAACAGCTGGACTCGCTGTTCTTTTATTTGACATCCAATCTAAATTTAAAAGCAAACTAACTTTGGGAAAGAAAGAGAACGGCCGCAACCAAAGATCTCCAGTACACCAAGCAAGCAAAATTGGTATAATGAGATTCCTTGGGACCTTTTATAACACACGTTCCATCCGTCCCCTATAAATACAGCAGAATCACAAGGTTAAGCAATCTACATTCACATGCATAAGAGAGAGAGCAAAAGGCAAGCAATACCATGCACAGCAAACACACATACCAAGTGCATCCCACCCACACAAAGCTCTCATCCAAAGTATTAAGTTGGAGAAGGGACCCGATGCAAGTGAATCAATCTGTGTCACACAGTCTCGAAGTGAAGTCAATTCACTTTCGAGCTGTCCACAAAATGAGAGTGAGGCCACCGGTTATACAGGCCATGGCCACTGGGACTTATCTGTCCAGTCACTGTGACGGACACCACCAAAAAGGATAAACAAGGACCAAAAAAAAGTGTTGACGCCATCAACTTAAAAGAAAAGGACAGGCAGAATCAAAGAAGCTAGAACTAAGAAGATCATCGCACTCGATTAAGGTCACATATGATCCTAAGCACCTAGGATACCTGAATTGGACGCATTATTATGATGCAAGTCTGTTTACATTCGATTCCAGAAGCTCAAAGAACCTAAAGAATTGTCCAGAAGCATTCATAATCAATTCTTCTATGTAATCACTCTCAGGTATCGAACCCTAAGTAAGATTCCCCGAACGAACTGATACTGCTCTAGCAATTTGAAACTTCAGCTCCGTCAAAACACTCAAAACCAAATCAAATAAGTTCACAGGCAAAACAGCAAAAGATCAAGACCACGGAGGGGCATTCAACCAGCCGACACGAGGGCTCCTCACGGCGACTGCATCCCCGGCCCAATCCCCACACATCTAACCTACCGATTGCGATAACGAAAGAGAGCAATATTTCAACAAATGGTGTCATCAAGCGGGATGGGAAGTACCTCGCAGCGGAGCTGGCTCGAGAGAAGTCTTCGGCGGCAGCGGAGAGGAGGAGGAGGAGGAGGAACAACAGATGGGCGTGTGCTGGATCGAGGGATTGTAGCGAGGAATCCCCAAACCGGAAACCAAGAAGAGGACGACGGGAGTCGTGGTTGGCGTGGTGGGCGTCTCCTCCGAGTGCGACTTATTTTTTACCTCTCTCCTGTATGTCCGACTGAATGAGTCATGAGATGAGTGCTCCAAGAATCGGCCGTTGAGATCGTGAGATTCTTCTTAACGCTATCGGTTTACGTTACTTCAACCCACCTATCTTTCGACTGGGAGATACACGACGGGGTCCACAAAAGACTTACCATGGGATCAGGTAGACACTCGTGTAACTAAAACGAGCGGAATCGTAATCTTCACTCGAAATTATTGTGATTATGACGCAGCAGCGATGCTACCTACCCGGTGAAGGCAAGGACAGCGGGAGCCACCTGTGGACCAACCCTGCTCACAGTGGGTAAACACGGACGGGTAGGGAAGACAAGTATGTAAGGTTGTGATCACTGCTGTGGTTATTTTGTCGAACAAGATGGATTAACTACTTGCCCAATCGCTTTTCTGTTCCCACAAGTGGAGAAACAAAAAAGACTTAGTTGAGATGTATTTATCAGGAAAATAACATTTATTATGATCTTTAAGACCTAAAAATAGGATTTTGATTTATATCAATCAATATCATTAAATAATAATAATAAACATACACCTTTAATTTTGAGATCACCGAGCTCATTGCTTTTCCCAACACCAAAATGCCCTAATTGACAACATACACTTTTAATTTTTCATATTCCTATCGAAAACTAACTCGATCGAACCGATAAAACTAGTTATTATGTTATTGGATAAGAATTATTATAATCATATTCAAAAATATTATGCCGAGTCTTAACCAATTTAATCAAATCAACCTTAATTATCAATATAATTATAGGTTTCGGGTTTCGTAAAATACATTTGAAAGTTTTTCGATGATTTCGGATGATAGCTAAGTAGGTATTTGGCATATGTCAAAATAATAATATGATAAATCATCATTCTTCACTTAACTTTAAGACCTTATAATTTTTATGCCCATTAATTGTGATGTGTTTTCTTCTTGTTGTAGAAGAATGGGACTGAAAAAGACCATTGATAAATTATAGTATTTTTAAATAGAATTATAATATTTTTATTATTCGACCTAAATATGATTACTGACTATTCTGAAAATATGGAGAGTTCTTTGCATAAATTATAAAAACATGGGACTCCATTCAGATCAAAATATGGAGTTTTTCATGAGAAATCTTGATCGACGACATAATTATCGATACTTAGATCGAGATATAAGCCTCAATAAAAAAAAGTATAAGCATAGTGGAATAAGGGATTATCATCCAAGGTTGAAAAAAAGGCTAATGTAATTTTCTTATAAATTTAATTTTTAAAATTATTTTTAAGATTCATCCTTCCTCTATTGAAGATTTATGAAATTGATTTGTAAATTAATCTTTGAACAATTACTCGTGACATTTATGTAGAACAATAAAAAAAAAACGAAGAACAAAAACAAAATGAAAGAAATAAAAATCAAATGTAAGGAGAGGTGGAACAATTTATTCTTAGGGCATGGCTCAAACTCAAAGCATCAAACTAATGGATGTACCAACTAGTTTAAGATATCTTGGCAAACTTGTGCCATGAGCCATTTGTAGTGAAAAGGTGCAACGCATCTTTGAAGAGAAGACAGCAGCACTTGCATCCTCATCTTGTAAGCTAAGAAATAACTTCATCACACAGCTTATTCAAGGCAAACAGACAGCAAAGAGAAAGATAATGATGACTCTCTCTCTCTCTCTCTCGTAGGTTAGAGATGAACATAACTCAGTACTAACTATTTCTCAAGGCATCTGATTATGAACATAACTCAAGTACTTGTTTTCTCATCTCAACTCATCCCAAACTTCACTAAAACAAAATAGGTTTCGGAGGTGTGAGTATCCTCGAAAGTACTTCAAATAAGGCCTCCAAATTTGATTGAGGGTGTTGTTTAAATGAGTCAGATAAGGTCTCCATGTTTAAGTGAGTATAATAAATAAAAAAAACTTAATAAAATTATATATGTATAATAAATGATAAATGATGAATATGAGATGTTGTTATACGTTATTATAACAAAATCACAAATCCTTGATGATGTTGTTCACAGAATTTACATAATTATCAATATATAAATAAATATTTTGAGAGTAGTGATTGATGTTTTTATAGGTATCAGTAATTTTTTTAATAATTTATTATAATATTTTAAATCTAGTATTCATGATTTATCCATTAAAAGAAAACCAATATGTACCCGCACACCAAATCCACCTGCATTACGGCAGTGCTGGGCCCTATACGCGCGTCCCACTTGTGCTGCAACCATGAGACGGTAGTAGATACGGGTTCGCTGAGCATGTCTTTGGACTAAAATAACAGCAATTTGGGTATTCGACCTTGGACGGCTCACTCGAGGTACCGAATTTGGGACCCACTCATGTAGCCACCAGTGGCCAACGAGTGGGTCCCACTCATCAATGCGACCCACTCATTCGCGTATCTACTTTCCTTTAGAAAGTGGTTACCCCATTTAAAGTGGGTCCCATTGATGACGTCGTTATGTGGGACCGACTCATGCGGCGGGATTCCCCATCGATCTCTGCCGTAGGGAAGCGAATTGCACATGGTGGGCTCCACAGGCGTGGCCACCACTTCTGTCCAACCACATGGCGGGTTGGCGTTTACGTGGGTGATGACCGAAGAACGCTTCTCATTTTCGTACTCGTACATGGTTAATAACTGAAGCTACCTGCCGTCAGACGAGATGAGACCTTTCCGTGGAACCCAATTAAGGCGGCCGTATTCACCAATCACGGAGCGGGTAAGTAGACGAGTAGTAGTACTCTCTCTCTCTCTCTCTTTGGATTCTATTCGGCCCTCTTTCGACCGATCACCAAATAACGGTACTGCCAAACCCAAAAGGAGGGCCGAGATAATTCCAATCTCCTTCCTCCTCTCGCCCCCAATTCCTGTGTCGTTTTCCCGCCCGATCGACGAGACTTCCTCTCGCAGTGCACGAGACGACGCACGCGGATCGAACCTTCTAGGTAATTTTCCGCCCACATCCCTCTCCATTCCCATCTCCGATCCGTTGTACGACTCCGGTCGTGTTCTTCCTCCTCTTTTTTCTGGCCTCCGCTGTTGGAGATCCGCCTTAACCTCAAGCGGTCTCCCTCTCTCGCTTCGTTGCATATTCTTGCTCTGGATTCGTCTGCTTTTCGTGGAATTCAATAGTCATTTGGGTTTCAGCACAATCTGTTTGGTTCTTTGACCTATTCTTTCTTTCTGTGTTTTATGGAGATTAGGGTTTCTTGTTAGTGCTTCGTGCTACCCTTTATTTGATTGTTTTTTTGGAAAACAATAGTTTTCCGTTTTGTATTCTTGTGATTTTAGTCAAAAATTCTTCTTTTTTTCATAGTATCTTTTGCTTACGTGAGATTCTTTAGATTTTGCGATTTGATCATCTGCTTGATTTTTTTTCTGATTTTGTTTGCTTGGCTTTCGTACGATTGGGGGTTGACTGGGTCACTTCTTTTGAATGTTTTAGGTTGTTTCTAAGCTATAGGCGGGTTTTCCTTTCGAATCATCGTGCGAGTACCAAAGCGCGGCGATGTCTGCTTCCACTGCTGCAGCAATCGCGGCATCGCCGGCCACCAATAATGGTGCATCTCTGAGTTTAGATGCAGACACAAAATCGAATGCAAAGAGGAGAACGATGGTGGTCGTGGAGAAGAGGGTGAGTGCCGATGGGCTTGCTGAAGGGGCGATAAATGGGATTGTTAATGGGAAGGATCTAAGCCATACGATAAGGGGAGAATCTGTGATTGAGAGAAGAAAAGATTATTCACAGTTGAAGAAGCGGTTGATTGCTTCATCCACAGGATCCCCACGGCACAAGAAAGCAGCACCAAAACCTGGGAAATCCAAGTGGCAAACTGTCATTAGTGTCCTTACCAAGAACTGCTTGCTTCTTGCAGTCCTCGTATGGTTGGGGCAGACTATTTGGAGATGGAGTTTCAGCATAGGAGACAATGCGAACTCTTCACTTGCTGCTTTTGATTATGAAAGCAGGATTTCTGAAGTTGAGATATCTTTAAAGAAGACTGCTAAGATGTTGCAGGTACAACTAGATGTAGTAGATAAGAAAATTGGAAGTGAGATAGGGATTTTGACCAAGGAATTGTTGGAGAAAGTCGAAAAAAAAGGAACATTGTTTGAGGAGGAGTTGAAGAAGTTGGCAACTAAAACTGATTCTTTGGACAAGTCTTTGGGCGAATTCAAGGACAAGGATCTGCTATCAAGGGAAGAATTTGAAACTCTTCTGACTGAGTTAAAAAACAGTAAAGGTGTAGACGATAGTAATATGAATTTGGATTTGGATCACATTAGGACGTTTGCCAGGGATATTGTTCGGAAAGAGATAGAAAAGCATGCAGCTGATGGTCTTGGAAGGGTTGATTATGCTTTAGCTTCTGGTGGGGCCAAGGTGGTTAGGCATTCAGAGCCCTATGGTTTTGGCAAAGGTAACGGTTGGTTCACAACTGCTAAAGGTCGTAACAGAGTTCATGCTAGTGCAAACAAGATGCTGGAGCCTAGCTTTGGAGAACCTGGCCAGTGTTTTCCTCTTCAAGGAAGCAGTGGATTTGTTGAAATTAAGCTAAGAACAGGGATCATACCTGAGGCTGTCACGCTGGAGCATGTCTCTAAGGTAATTTTTTTTCTGCTCCTGCTGTATTCTAGTTTTCTATTTACATTAATGATGATTGATTCTCATACGGCCATAAAATGTTTGAGCCTCTATTATGCGTCTCTATCTATTTTTTTATCTGTCGGTGTGTTGTGTTTAACCTACACTTTCCTAGAATGATCAGCATGAGTGGTACAGGTGGAACCACCTAATGTCGATTTACTTGGGACTAATAATTATACGTCCTGAATGGGGATCTAGTGCCTTGATTTTGTAATTCCTTTTGTCAATTATGAGGCAATGCAAGAAAATGAACCGCTTAAACTGTTTTCATTTTCAGTTATGTTGCTTTGACTGAGGTTATATTGTGCTTCTCTTATTACAACTGCCATTTATATGCAGCTTGTTACCCATTTGCTTGCTTGGAGCCCTGGACACCTTGAAATCTTTTAATGAGTAGGTCGCTTCCTATATGTTGCTTGTCAACCTTTTGCATAAGGACTATTTTGAAATTCAAATTTCTTATCAGCTTTCTTAAAGGTAAAATATTTGAAATAATTTCAAGGTAAGAGAGATAGCTTATATAAATTAAACATAGATTTGAAAAAATGCAACACATGGTTCCTACATCAGATTCCTTTTGCTTATAATTACAAATCATGTACTTCTATTTTGTTGAAATGCACAAGCTAAGAGCTACCATATTTTATATGGAAATCAAAACTTACTAGGATGTGAGACAGCTGTGCTTAATTGTAGGTTTGATTATAACAGTCATCTAAATTTTACAAAATTGTGATCTTATGGTAAAATTAAGAAGACTGTTTGATTTTCCTTTTCTGGAAGTGTCTCAGGCGTCCAATGAGAAGCGGTGGATTAAACATTGTTCCATGATGAATATTGTTGTTTGGAAATCTTTAAGATCTTTTCAGATACGACTTGGTTTATATAGGAACCTTAACTAAATTAATACTGTTGGAGGATCAAAGCTACAACTTTTTCTTGTTACACATGATTTAGGACTATGAAAGATGCCATCTTTATGTCAATTGATTTTCTCACAGTAAATTGCATTAATCGCTGTGCCATCGAGTGGTACAGTAGCAGCTGTGAATTTGTCTGAAACAATCAGGAAGAACAATAACATAGACATAACATGAATAAAGTAGCGAGGAGGAATCTGAAAGTTGGTGTTTCTTTTTAAGCAGTTTCTAATAATATGACTGCATAGCCTTTTAAGCAGTTCCTCTGAAACTTGGCTCAAATAGAAGTATGAGACTGAATGGTTGGATCTTGGAAACTGAGCGGATCAAGGATCCCAATAAACAAAGCACTCATGAAGAAGCTGGAAGGAACATGGATTCATATGATCATTCAGGTTCTCAAACTTAAAAGAAATCACCTTTTTTTTTTTGTTGTTGAACCCTGCACATCATCATTCGTTTGTTTTTTTCTAAAATCTACCATATGTTCCTCTAATATCCGAACAAGGATGATGCTTAGGAGGGCTTCATGCTTTTTATCTTTTACGCAGCAACAAATCTTGTGTTTCTAGAAGTTGCAATTCTTAGTTGGCCTCTCATGTTTGTGTGGTATGATTATTTCTAGTGAAACCTTATCTTGTTCTTTGCTTTGCTACTTCTCCTTGGAGCTCATCTCCACATATGGATTACTAACATGCATCATGAGTCGACTCCTGATGTCCCTTCTTGGAACGTGTATGGTATGCAGAGTGTGGCTTACGACAGATCGAGTGCCCCCAAAGATTGCCAGGTCTCTGCTTGGTTTGAATCCTCCGAGGAAGACCCATCTGGTGGTGTGAAGAAGGTTTTTGCCTTAACTGAGTTCTCCTACGACCTCGAGAAGAGCAACGCACAAACGTTCGATGTAGAGGCGAGGGACTCCGGCGACGTCGTCAACACGGTTCGGCTCGACTTCACCTCCAACCATGGGAGCACTGCTCTGACCTGCATCTATCGCTTCAGGGTGCACGGTCACGAGCCCAGTACAGCTGCAGCCATGGGTTTGCAGCCCTGAGGGAGCATGCTTTATGTTGTACCCACCCTTATTTTCTGATCGTAGGGCATCCTCTTCGCATCTTCTCTCTGCTCCTTTTGTCTGAGAACAGATGGACTTGGGATCTTCTGATCATTTTGACCCCTTTCTGTTCTTGCGGGTAGCAGCAGCTGCTACACTGAGACGGTGCCATCTATTTTATTGCATGTACGAATGTGGAACATTCGTATTTTGTTCTCTCATCAGTATTCTTTTGGGGGATTCTTGTTATTGTGCAGTATGCAACTGAGAATGTCATCGTCATCATTCCAAGCGTCGAGGGATAGACAATAGCTTTTCCCGTGAGCTCACAGCCCGTTCGTGGCATCACAATGGAGGAATCCAATCACCAGGCAGGTAAGGTGAGACGGGCAATGGTAAGACTGTCTGTACCAAAGATGGGTGTGTCGATGATGATTTAACTCGTATTGCTACTGTCGATGGTTGTCGACCTGTTAATATTCTGTTAATAGGAAGAATTAGTGGAACGCTAAACTGATGATACCTAACCGACATATGGCATGGCTAGCCAGCGAGTAGCTGTCCTGGTGATTTTTTTTTTATTTTCATAAATAAACTTTAGTGTTTATTTCTCCAAATATGAACTTAAAATATATTTCCATCTAAACTTTTGTATCATGCACATATTAATATTGGTTAGTCTTAGCACAGAAAGGATGACAACGGACAATGGAAGAAGATACACAGAGAAGGCAAAGAGAACATGAAGGTGTGATACAAATTTAACCAGTTTATTATAAAATTCTTGGCCCCATCTTTATCTTTGTTAAAAAAAAGAAAAGACGCTTAAACATCGTGGAAAGCCAACAAGAAAAAGATGACATGACAATGGAAAAGAAGCAATAGGCAAAGACCCATCTGATTTAGGATGAAATCGTCTAAACCCATAATGAACCCCAGGTGGATAAAGATATAGTATCACCCATATATAGGATGCCCCAGATACTTCATAATTTCTAAAAACTAGGGCATAAAGTGAATTTTGCTGGAGAAATTGACATCATTTTTTTGTATGATAAATTTTTTTTTTATCATATGTATTTTTAGAGGTGATGTATATCTTTGTTCACTAATAGAATACAAGATTAGTTTTTGTATGTAACCAAAGAAAAAACACAAAAGTATTTTGAACGAATGCGCTACATGTAGAGGTTTAAAAATTGTAATGGCAAATAAGCCATTTTCAAACCTTACAACGATATATACATGAATTGATGCGTACAGGCCAAAAGGAAAAGTTGTCCAGAAAAGAAACATAATTCGGGTTATATAGAAAGAGAAAAACCATTACGATTCCTCAATTGAAGGTGTGTCAAGATAACGTCTGCATGTTCAATATATTTTGTTAGTCAGTGCTAACCGATTGGTCGCCCGAGAATGCACTTCCACCGGATGCAGCTGAACCCGTCTGCGAAGTGCTCCGACCTCGGCTTCTGTGCATTTGTCTGAGTCTAAAAACATCTCTCGGAAGTGGCCGACTCTGCACGGTCGTCGATTCATCATCTTCTTGCCCTGGAGGCATAGCATGTCATTCATGTTAGGAATATAGATGCACAAGGGCACTTGAACATGATTCTATATGCAACAAAACCTGTAATTTGATCAGGCATATCGATAGAGAAGCTACTTAAATTCTATATGTCAAGAATGTATCCTACGTGTGCATATGGCCAAGTCAAGAAATAGTGAAATGCCACATGAGAATTTCTCTAACCCTAACCGAGAATTTGTTCAGAGAGTAACCGGGTGTTATTTTCAGTCCCGATCACAAATGATGTTGAAACACTGGATGCTCAAGGCCACTCTTCTGGAACTGACTGGAGCATAATTGCACTGACCAGAGTAGAGGACGCTACTGGATATGAAGCTCTCACAAAAGTCACAGACAAAGAACTCAACATGCGATTAAGATACAGGTGCAGCAGCCTAAGCAGAAAAGTTCAAATACAGAGAAATGGACCAGCTGGACACACTCTTAGTTGGATAAAGAAGACTGCTACTGCTGTATCTATAATTAGTAAGTGCTCAATACCTCAAAACCAGAGGAAGAATTCTTAACACCTTTGTACATAAAGCCTCTCCCCTAAATAATATATCACTAACGTGACAAATTAGACAAGTGGATTTAATTTCAACAAGGAAAACTGATGCATTTGATTGATCAACTGGTCAGCTTTCAAAACCATTAAATTAACCTATGTTAGGGAGCTTATGGAACAAAAGAGACACATGCACATAAATGTCGATTTTTCTTGGTGGCTAGATATAAGAAAAGGCAGCGTGCTGAAGGTACATACTGTCAAGATCTTTTCTTTTGCCTGAATGTCCATCTCTAGGAAGCCTGTGAGGTGGTCCATTGTTCATTCGTGTCTTGATAGAGCCCGAATGGTCACTCGTGGTAGGTCCTGGACCACCAGGCATTTGCTGAAGAGAAGTGGCTGGTTTTCCAGTCTGTCCTGTTGGTATAGAGCTCTGTAGCAAAATAGATAAAACCACGTCTATATCTGGAGATGGTCCTGTCAAATCATCAAAAATGTCCCAAAAACATTGCTTTAACCAACAAATATTCAAGTTATTAAGCAAAATGTGATACAAGAACATAGTGCAACCACAAATAAAATATGTAACTTTCAACTGCAATCATGAGTAAGACTGTAAGGGTTCAGATACTAGCAGACATCAGAAACGGATATACTAAAGATATCATTCGTACAAAATTGTGTCATACAATAAAAAAATTTAATGGCATATGATACATTGTGAAGGCTGTCAAAAATAAACAGAGTTTATTTGCTACCAAGTTCAAATAGTTTCTACAAAAGAGGAATCTGATTGTTGCAAAAGCAAGATTGTGGATTCATGAACTTCAGCATCTTCATGATTACTTCAGGAAGAGCAATTTTGGGACTCTTTATCTCCTGGATAAGTTGATCTACATGTACACAAAATTAAATCACATTGCTTTTCACATCAAGGTTTGCCATTTCAGATACCAAACACGTGCATGCCTTTGCTGATGTACCAACACATGGTACGGTAGTATGTACTAGGTCCAAAAGAAAAGGTGGGAGAGATGGGGAGGAAGATGGGAGGAGGCGGCAGCAGCGGCCATCAAGGAGAGGAATACTGCATGGAGCACCATGCGGATGGCCAGCAGCACGAGGGAGAGAGGCAGGGAAATAGAGAGAGAGAGAGAGATACGAGCAAGGATAACCCTTCTAAATAAATAAACCCATCTCTCTCTCTCTCACTCTTTCTGCCCCCCTCTCTCTCTCCCCCAAACATGAGATCTGGTCTTCAATGGAAAAAGTCAAGAAAACCAATCAGCAAAGATCTGATCATATTCACTCCCACAATAACATCAAACTGATATCCTAATCAATTTCCCACTCATTATTGCTAATGAACAATACTTAGCACAAAAAACTAGTGTTCATTTGAGTACGCTGTATATTGTGCGGGGGGCAACTAAAAGATCTAAAAGTCGAAAACTAGTGTTCATACGAAAAACCCAAAGGTTGTGTGGGCGGCAAGAACAGATAGAAGAGATAAATACATCTAGGAAAAATACGGTAGTTTCAATTGAATACAAAACAAGGAAAAACCATTTAAGATGGTCAAACATATATAAAGAATATTTATGCATTGGTTATTATTGTTGAGGTAATTTAGAATGGTGCTGAAAAGGAGAAAAGGTCTACGAAAATTTTATTTGAGGCATCAAAGACATTTGATAACTTTTTGTTTGACTAGTAATATTACCCTCAGTATTCCTTAATGACTTGACAAGTTCCATGTAGCTGACACCTAATAGTAGGGATCTTAATGCTCATGAACATTCCAAAATGCAGAAGATAACCTAAAGTTATTGTGACCCTTTAGTAGGAGGGATTCAATCCATTTCAATTCAATCGAATCATATTTCAGATGGATACTTTGTGAATATGAATTCCCAAACATATCTTTGACAGTATATTTTTCAAGCCTGGCATGATAAGGGTGTGAATGTGTAGGCATGTGTCAACATACGCATGAGAAGACCAGAACAAAAACAATGTTTTGAGCATCTCAAGTATCAACAACCATGAGAAAAGGGCTAAACTATATATAATATATTTGACTAATATTGTGGATAACAGAGTGAATGCAGCACACATAAAAAAAAAGTTTAAAACATTAGCATCAAAATTTTCCCCACAATTTAGAACAAGAAATTGCTTCCTCTGGATATGCAGGAACATAATGCTTCAGGACATCTTAACATATAGTAATTATCAAATATATGATTTATTGGTGTGGAGATACAATAATTCAGGGAAGACAGGACAAATACCCATTCCAAAGATTAATCATCCATAGCTGGAAGGTCATTGATTATTCAACCATGGTGGTGTCTCTACCAATGACACAGTGATCTTCATTGTTTGTAACAAAGCAGAATACAGCTAACTTGAAGAAAAAATGACTTGATATGTCACAAACAAATAATCTAGATAAGCTGGTTAATTGATAAAGTAATGGTACCTTCAACAGCAGGCATGTTTGTGATGAAAGCCATTAAGGTAGGTGAAATTACTTTCAGGATGTCATCAAATGCTTTTAGACCACTACCGACGAGACTTGAACCAGATGCAGATGTGGAAGCAGCTTCAGATCCTGTGGCATTTGAAAATGGAGCGTGACATGCCTTTACAGAAATCACATGCTTCTGTCTGAATTGGAAATCCAACTATCATACTACATCTGCAAGGTACTTGATATAAAAATAGAAAAAGAAAACTGAAGTGTTACTTGTAGTCGAATAGTTACTTGGTCCTTCACTCCTACCCCCCGTCAACAACAATATATAGATTCCTCATCGTGTTTCATAATATTTTTACATCCTAGATCACCATCGTACATAATTTAGAACATCAAAATTGGAGATTAATTCTCACCAATCTCATGGTTCTCAAAACCAGCATTTAATACCTTTATTCATGCACAAAATGGACCAATATTAAGAAAAAAATTTATAATATACCACAATGTTCTAAATACTGGGCATAGTATCTGGTACATTTTGATATGACAAGGGGAAGGCACATGGACTGGGTGATTACCCCAATATGGTTGGAAACAGGGCATACTAGACATTACACTATTCATGTATCCATCGAAACATGACTGATACTCACATATGTGCTAGATGTATTAATTTTTAAAATAATTTTTAAAGCAGAACTGGTTGCAAAGAACTGTTTGCTGAAAACTGTAGATAACCTTTGCCTCTTTATCTCCGCTGCAGAAACAACCACCACTGAACCCCCCCACCACCATCCACAACCATCACTGCTATCTCAGCATCCGCCTCATCCACCTCATCATGTGCCTGCTCCTGTCACTACCCCTTCCTCATGTTTCTGTTGCCACCACCTCCTTCGACATACATCACTTCCCTCTGCAACTCTCTCTTCTCCTCCCGCTGCCTTCATCCTCTGCTCCTCTCTTGTTTCCTCCTCCCTTCTCTCTTTTCTCTTAGTCTGGGTTGTACTGACCCATAGCGAGTCTTTGTATGTCAGTATTGCAAAGGTACCATTGGTCCAATAGCTAACCAATATCAGCACCGGACCAAGATTTTAAACCTTGATGTCACACAAACATAATCTTTTGCAATGTTCTATAATTAGCACATAACATGTGCCGTTGTCATAGTTGATGAGAGTCTAAAGAGAATTAATTTTAAACTTTGAGTTATCAAGGGAATTATTATAAATTAAAGGCTTTAGATTAAGTCGTATATGACATGCAATTTAGTAATGCTAAGAAGAGTACCAGGATATAGTTAAAGTTAAATAGACAAGAAGTTTCATTAAATAAAAAGCTTTAGTACGTTGGATCAATTGTTCAATGAGATGAAGATATAAGAAAGCTGAACAATTAATCAAAGACAATTGTTAAATCGGCAATGCTTTATGAATCCAAGTGTTGCACAGTTAAAAAATCATATACAAAATGTCTACATCGTTGAGATGAGAATGTTGAGGTGGCGTCTAAAGTTATTAGGAAAGATAGGAAAAAAATATTTTTACCCATGAACAATTAGGTATCACTTCGATGAAAGATAAAATGAGGAAAAAAACGTTTAAGATGACATAGACATGTACTCAAAAAATTCATATATGTTAAAAGAGGTAAAATGATTATTGTTAGTTGTACAAGGACAAATGGAGAAAGACCTAAAAAACTCTTAATTTAAATAATGATTTAAATATTCTTAATTTAACTAAGATGTCTTTTTACAAATCTCAATGGTGACAAGAAATCTATGTAGTTGATCCCAAATAATTGAGACTTTATGACTTTGTTATTGTTGTATAATTAGCACATAGCATGTTCATTACAACTTGGTGAAGTATAACTAGAATGTTAATTTTTTCATTCCATGTATATTGCCATAAAGAATTCAAAATTTAAACTTTAGTTAACAAAACCAAGATGATAGTTGGCTGTTGATTTAGTAGGAATATTTTCCATGCCTCTTGTAGTTGTGGGAGCCAAAGCCCTGTAAAGGTTAGTCTCTTCAAGAGTGGTATCCACTAATACATACGATCAAAAAGCAAACAAACGAAGGTGCTTAATGCAAAGCTTGCAGAGTTAGAATATAGATGGGATTGGCTGAAAAGTAATTAAGAACAAAAACCATATGACTCAAAAGATAATTAAAATTTAAGAAAGATATGAAAGTTGCCCTTTTATAAAATTATTTTATAACATAAAGAAATACATAAAAAATATAAATATAAGAAGGGATGGAAGTTTCTATACAAAAGGTTCATTCTTACATGTTTTATAAAATTTATGGAAATATTTCCTTCAACAACAAGTTAAACTCTTATTAAGAATAATTTTATGTATACAAATAAACATATAAAACGTATACTTGTTTTTATAAGTATTTAATGCTTGATAATTTACTAAAGATGAGTTCTGTATAACAATTTACTAGGATAATGGATACCAATAAATCAGACATACATAAGTAATATAAAACTATTTCTGTTATATTGTATTCTTAATTTATATTATGGTCCACATCTTCAATTAATTGCTATACATATTACATAAGTGAATTTTTTATATACCAATTTATCCTTCAGCATTTACCCAAACATCAGCTTGTGTGGGACTGGATGAGCAACAAGAATCATGATTGACTGAGCTGGGCAAAAAAGTCAGGGTAGATTTTGGACATAATGTTATCTTATTATACATTTCTTTTATAAAAGAAACTCAATGACATTTTGAGCCTTGCCTACTTAATAGTTCCAAACTCTTCCAGTGCATATCCTCTTCCTGCTCTTTTGGTCATTTTTGACAATTTTAATGGTGATTTCATGGTTTAGCCAAGATACAGGCAGAAATCAGGACAGCTGCTGCGGGCACTGACTCAGATTGGTTGATCCAGCTTACAGTGGTCAGAGAAGCTCAAGGCAAACCCCAACAAGCAATGACTCCATAGACTCATTTATCTCACCAATCTTCTTGCAAAGATAAGCCCTAGTTTGCTATGCCTTTTGTGACGGTTAGAACATATTGACAAAGGACTTAAAGATGAAGAAGTTGGTAACAGAAAGGTGTGAAAAAAGAAATCCATATTTATATGGGAATCATTGGATGCCCAATTCAACTACATAGATTTGCACCCTTTCTGTTAAAAGAACTGTCAATATCAAAGACTTTTACCTAAAGTTTGCCTTGGATCATATATAACCATTCTGGCAGTATCCGGATAAACAACCTTTGCAGAAGGCAGCAAAACCTTGGAATTTGTTGTTAATCCAACAGAACCTTTCTCTGCACCATAACATAATGATAACTTTATAATTATCAAATTATTATGAATGGGAACTTTTTTGCAGAATGACAAATAATTGATACCGGTGATATTAGCTCCATGTAGTAGATTTGACTTGTCAACCTTTCTGTTGATGTTTTTTACAAGCCACTGAAAGTAACATGAAATTGTTAAAGAAACATCACACTGTTGGCATGATAAAGGGCACACAAAAATAAATAGAAGAAAAACCTACTAAGATTAATTTGAAAATAATCATTATGTAAAAAGCACTTAAAAGTTAAAACTATGCTCAAATAAACCTCTTACACATTCTTCCTAGCAAGGAAAAACAAGAAATTTGCTTCTCAACTAATGCATAAATATTTGACTGTCATGTATCTCACATCAAATCGACTAAATTGAGAATATGGATGTATTATTTGTCAGTAGAAACATTCACTACATTCTGTAATAATCTGTCAACAGAAAGTCATAAGTTCACAATATTATCACATCAAGAAATAATTTAATTTCATACTTCTTCTACATAATAGAAAATATAGCATTGTACATGTTGTAAAACCAATCATGCTTTATTGATCAAAAACATTGGATAGATAAGAAATAACATGTTCCAAAAGTTACTGTAGCCAAAATGAGAATGCTATGATGGATGTTTGCAGTTACTAAAAAAGATAAGTAAAAGATAATTTCATTTGTGAAGAATTAGGCTTAGCCCCTATAACTAATAAAGTGAGAAAACATAATATAAAATAGCATGAACATAATGAAAGAAGATAAATAGACATTGTGCTAAGACAAGTTGACTATAATTAGTGGCATGAGAAGAGAGCGTGAGAATTAAGAAAGCTTAATAAGAACAACAGAAGGATAATTGAATACCCTTGATTTCATTGGCATATTGCTTAGCCTCAACAGTGGAAAGGTTGTCTGTAGGCAATCTCAGATATTTGGTACATTATCGTTTTTTCTTTCTTGTTGTACTGCTTGTACAAACTACATTCAAGGAATCGAGCAAAACCAAGACTCCAGCCCTATTTAACCAAGGTCATCTACTAAGATACTTTTGATATTTAGCTCAATTAGCGGCAAATCCTAGGATCATCATGGATACATAAGCTTTCTCTTGGTATTTCACCAAGTTCTTTTTGGTCATCTCCCTATCATGACACCTCCAATTTTAACTGAATCCCATTAGTCAATGCACTTGAAGTTAAATAATTGGGTGTTTGAGAAATCTTTAACAATTTCCTCTCTAATTCTCAACCGGTTTTGCATCCAAGGATCTTGGAGGAAATAAACAATGGTAAATCATGTGGATAAGTTCATTAATCAAAGGATTTTATTATCTGTATCCTTTTGATATACAAATAAGCTCCAAGTCTCTATAATGATGCATTTCATATTTTGAATAGTTACACTACTACCTAAATACATAAAAAGGTTTGCATTAATGAAATGAAAATGTTGAGATGGATGTATAGAGTATTTTCATTTGTAAACAAAGAGGTGTAACTTAGATACAAGATAAAATGTGGGATAATGGTTTAACATGGCATACACAAGTGTTAAAGAGATAAATAGATGACGTAGTTAGAAGAATTGAAACAATTACTAAAAGTGTATAAGGAGAGGGAGAGGGTATAAAAAGATTTCATTGGAGACTATAAATAAATATTTAAATTCCCTTCGTTTAACTAAGAATGTGGCTTTTTACATAGCTCATGGGTAAAATATCGATGTAGCCGACACCAAATAATTGGAATATTTACAGCTTTGTTGTTATACATTATGCTACCTAAATTTAGCAAAAAAGGAAATAAAGTGACTGAATATAAAAAGAAAATAATCAAAAGATTCCAATTTCAATCAACAATGATGATATATTTTGGTATATAGATGTGATTTTTAAGAATCTTAAAGCAAAACACAATGCTCGCTGACTACATAATGCATAATTGTTATACAAGTAAAACCAACAACATGATTACCTCCTGTCTTGCCAAATGATCCAGATCTTTTGGCGAACATGGCCAAAGATCCATGAAGCTATAACGTGAGATGACATCATATAAAGTATTCTCCAATACTGTGGAACCTTCCTCAACTGATCTAGTTAAAGCTTCCTTCTTTCTTTGTTCAACCTGTATTAACAGAACAAGTCACAAAGCCTAAATCCACAAATTTTCGTTACAGGAAGGTAAAATATCCTACTCAAGCCAAATATAGAGTGATGGTTGAGCAATTGCTCTCTCTGCTAACTCATATATGTATGAAGCTCCAGATCTATGAAATGAGAGATGAATCGAGCTTCTAGATGAAAAAGACACCAGAAAAAAAAAATCAAAGAGAAATATTATAGCCCTTAAGTAAACAAGAAATCTAATAACAAGAATACAGTTTAATATACCAAGATTTATTCACAGATGGACATTTTTGGTTCATGTTTTCTATATTCTAAGTTCTTTGGGTCAGATCTAGCAAACTCCCTTTTATTCAGATCCCTTGCATCTAGGGAACCTATGAATGTTGCAAGAGTGAAATTAAAAATACCAGACACAAAAGCACAGTAAGCAAAAAAACTTTCTTTGACCTTAATGGAAAAAGCACCTGAGTTCTTGATGCATTTTCAGAATATCATCTCCCAGGTTCAGTAAAGCAGACACTAGTTATATTCAACAATAACTAACACTAAGAGACAAAAAGCTTTAGTTTGAGTACTTGCCAATGTAGATACATACACAAAATTCCAAACAAACACACTAATGTGAGGAAATACATATATTATAAATTGACTTTTGTGTGTGGTTAAATATAAATTTAACTCAAGCAAAAATTTTACAAATTAGACTAAATTTTGTTGGAACACAACATTATTCATACTCAATTTCAAGAAATTAAACATTTTTTATAAAATTGTTTTATGAAATAATGATTGTAATCTAAAAAGCCTCTAAAGTATTTCCTAATCGGCTTCTGCTATAGAATTATCAGTAACAATGTGCGACAATTTTTACTATGTTTTAAGTCCTCAGAGGATACCTACTGTGCGCAAAGAAATAGTTATAAATAATACTGGAAACATTATAGTGAATGCATTTCTGCTCTATTTTATATGCTTCTCCATATTTTTGCAAAAATTCATACATCATCTTTAAAACCAACACTGGAGCTCAAAACAAAGTTGATGTGCTTCATGTTTGACAAGTATACCATGATATAGCCCAACTAGACCCAGTAAGACTTGACCTAAACCTTCTATTGGCTCTTACAAATGCAATCAGATTGAATTTCAAGCTAGCTGACCCTAATGTTCCTAATGCTATCACAGAATCAATCTATTCTTCTCTAACTTAATCTATACATGATCCAAGCTAGCCCAATTTATGATTATTCCATATTCTTAGTACCCAATAAAGACCCACCTAACTGAAATCAACTACTTTAATCCTCCATCGGCCTCATTAATAATTAACAAGAATCAGCTATAACATCAGTTGACCATTCTTGTGTCCAATTGCATCGAGTCAAATTTCCACCCTAAGTTCGGTAAAAACTAATTACAATTAATCAATCACAATTGTTAATTTCATCATGCCATTGCAGCTATAACATCAGTTGACCATTCTCATGTCCAATTGCATCGAGTCAAAATTTCCACCCTAAGTTTGGAAAATTAATTACAAATAATCAATCACAATTGTTAATTTCATCATGCCATTGGCATACAAAAAAACAAAAATTAAGAAGAGCTAAATTGTTTATGCACTAAGTGAAACATAATATTTTGAAGAAAATACATAAAACAAAGGTCTACTGAGCTTTACTAGACATTTTGTCACTTGCAACTTAAAACACAATACCCTAGTCATTTACCAGAAAGAAGATGCTCTAAACAATAATGGAATTCTTCACAGCTCTATGATCCATCAGCTTCTAGTATCAGGATCGAGAATACATTGTTACCTAACCTTATGCATAATTGTCATGTCACTCAATATTAGGGAACAAAGCTGGAAACTTCATTAAGAAAGAACTTAAGGTGCATATAGAGTTATCAGTTATCATGTTCTACTTGCAGGAAAATGCATTGACTATTTTCAAAATGCCTGATGCAATCAATTCAATTCATATTGGAATACGAGTATTGCTTAATAAGAAATTGTAAAAAACGAAGCCATGCCTTCAACATGCTGGTCAGATCTCCATATGTTTGCTCAAATTGACAAAATCTTATCCATATCTGCACGAGGAGTTTACATGAGAACTAGTACAATAAATTGTATCAAGCAAATGATAGAGGACCAGATCCAGTAAAACACTGAGAAATTAACAAAGCATAGTGATTGAAAGGTTTATGTCTAGTCCAATTGCTGGTGACTATTATGGAAAATCTTACTCAGCTCAGTTTTTTTTATGATAAGAACAATTAGTTGTCCAATACAGTGAAAAGACTCATTTTCAGAATTAACTCAAGCATTGAGGCTGTAGTGAAAAAGATTTATGGATAAATAATAATTTTAATTAATTAATGATAACTAATAAGTAGTTATTGTTGCTTCATTTCTGAACTCTGAAGAAGGTAAAATTTAGAAGCAAGTTTGATTACAAGTTGGGTTAGCGAACATACTATTTACTACCATTGTTCCAGGGATCAGTTTCTTATTCAATGGCATTATGATTCAGGTACATAAATTTAGTCCACAGAACAGCCAAAAAAAAAAAGAATACTCCATAGAGACAGATACTTGTATGATGAAACTAGGACCCTTTTGGGATTGAGAATTGTAAAAGAGTACATGAGACTGCACATGTGTACTTTCTTGAAAACCAAATAAAAATTTTCAGCCACAGCTCTGCTGAGAGAAAATTAAGAATGTCTAATATGCAGCTTGAATGTTCAGGTTGGATACCAAAACAGGACCGATCCAAAACTAGGCCAACCAGCTAATGGGTCAAGATTGCGCAAACCATGACCCTGAACACACTTATGGCTTGGATAAAAATAAGTCTACTTGAACTGGTGGAATCAGTCAGACACAGGGCAACTAAATAAAGATCCTAGCTGCCAAACATCAACACTCTCATGCTTGTTGCAATCATATTGTCTGTTAGAACATCAACATCACCAAATATAATCAGCCATACAACATTTCAGGGTGCTATCAAAGTGCACAAAGATGAGACTCATTTGATAAATCTTGAAAGTAAAAACCTGAATACCTCCACAGACTTCTCTGGAGGAAGTGAACTCAAAGCCCGCTCAAATAGAGCACGTACATTTCTATCATCATTTAAACGACATAAAAAATCTGCATATCTGCAAGAAAACATCACACTTTTAGAATTCTCTAATGCAATTACTGAAGTGTGTAAGGCTGCAAAAAGGCACTACTTTCTTTTTTCATTTGTAAATCAAATTTCATGGTGACATAAAAGTACTAATATTGATGTTTGTTTTAGCAGAAACAAGAAAGGCCTTACTTGCTAGCATTTTGCAATGAAAAAAAGGAAGATAATTCTTTTAGCACAAAGAGAATATCTAACCTGGAGTTTCCTTAAAATAAAGTTCTTTATTGATAACAACACTCGTGGAAAGCAAACACAAGAGAAAGTGAGAAACTAAGATCCCCAGTAACAACTGTTCTCCTAGGGTTTTTCTAGGGACACACTGGGTGGTCAGATATAAACAGTTCAAAAAGTATTATTAACATTTTACAAGCCCTTGGAGGAGAAAGAATAAATAAATAACAACTTTTGCATTTACCATGAACAAAGAAATGGAAGAACTTACTCAAGAATGTAACCAGGTTCATTCATGAATTTCTTTAATCCAGCTTCAAAGATGTTGTGTGCAGCCTACAAAATACAGACTTATTAAGATAACAGAAGAACTATCACATACAAATAGTTGGAATCTGATGTTGTGGGTCTTTGTTGTGCAGAAGGGAGGAAAGGTTTCATGTAGTTTGTACTAAATCTATTGAATCTATTTGCGCCAGAAGATTATAAAGTTTTAGGAAAAATATTATTATCTAATACACCCACACAAGCTTTTACGTCTTGCCTGTCAAATTTCCTTTTTATAGAATAGCAACTAATCGTCGTTAATCAATCAAGATAGCTAAAGTTTTAGGAAAAATATTATTATCTAATACACCCACACAAGCTTTTACGTCTTGCCTGTCAAATTTCCTTTTTATAGAATAGCAACTAATCGTCGTTAATCAATCAAGATAGCTAAAGTTTTAGGAAAAATATTATTATCTAATACACCCACACAAGCTTTTACGTCTTGCCTGTCAAATTTCCTTTTTATAGAATAGCAACTAATCGTCGTTAATCAATCAAGATAGCACATGGTAACCTAACAATTGGCCAGCATTAATAAGTTATGCTCATAACTGAACTAAACAAAAATGCAGTTGTTTCAATAACTCCATGATTTAATGTAAGGCGTAAAATCCACAGCTTGGAAGCACTACAAAATGATATGAAAACCAAAATCATTTGTCTATCATAAACCTTTGGGTCCTTGTCGACACAAAAGACCATCATAGCATAAGCAACAAAGACATGATATGTACAGCTTGGTGATTTTCTAGCATCCAAGAAGTACTTCCGAGCTGCTTCAACACCTTCGGTTCTCCTTAAGAATCGAATAAACTGCAACAGAAACAGGAAAAATCAAGTTGAAAATGCACATGGAATATCATTAGTGGACTTATGTAATACAAGCAAAAAAAAGGAGAAATGAGGATACTTCACCTGAATGTGAGCTAGAGACATTGAATTAGAACTGCTAGCAAGAAGACTCTCGTATATTTTCTTGGCAGGCTGCATGGGAAGAATACAGTCTTCAATGAACTGTAAAACTCGTGAGAAACAATTAAATAGAACTATATCCTGACCTGAATTGCACCCCGAGATTCTTCTAGTTCCGCATATGCATATTTCAGTAATTCAGAATCTAGAAAAACATAAATTAAACCATGTGTATGTCCTCAATATAAAGCATAAAATCATCTTTATAAACCAGTGTTTCTAGTATAATTCATGTAAAGGCTATAGCTTTCAGCAAATAAACAAATTTGAAAACAAAATACTTACAAATCCAAAATTCTTAAACAAGTTCACAAATCAATATCAATCTGCATAACTTGATAGCCCTAAAGGCAGAAATGACATAAAGTACAACCAGTACACATGACAGAAATGGTTACTATAAACAACTTACTAGAGTTACCAGCAACAGATGATCTAAAAAAATAATTGAACATTTAACCATTACCAAGGCCTAAACATACAAAATTAAGCAATTGGCCTTATTCTTTAGTTTTGGTTCAGAAGGTATAGATGCCTGGCACCTAACGTTCTTGAACCATTTAACTCAGAAGAGTTGCTCATATTCAAGGTTAGATAAATCAATGAAATCTAAAAAAATCATGAACTCAAATTAAATATTGAACTTACATTTACTAGAATGTTCTATGGACCTCGTAAAGGGGTGATAGATAATATGGCCAAGGAACCCAAAACCGACAGTACCACGTAATAAGGTCTGGTTTTTACTGCTCTGACAAGGAACTGATATGCAGACCAAGTGATATTGCCCAGTATGTCCTGAAACCAAGAATACCGTTCTTTGCCCGTTGCAGCCGGCTTACCCGGCAATAAGCATACTACCCAATTTCATGATTCAAAAAAGTTGCATTAAGCCCCTTTCAAAGCCCTACCCTAATTTCTTTACTCCTCTCTCAATTTCAACCCATTCTTTCCCCAATTCTTCACCAAGCACTCTCAATCTGACTCTCCAAATTTGATTTCCCTCAAATCCGAAGCTAGTCTCAAACAATTGAAGGTTCATTCTCAAGAAATCCTCTGATTTCTCACTTATAACAGGTAAATCCAAACCTCGAATTTGAAATTAATCACTTTCTCTTGAATGAAGTTGTATTTTCACAATTATTTCATTTTGAAGTCATGATTACATGGATTTAAACATATATTTTAGTTTTTTCTTGTCAAGTTCAAGGGTGAACTCGGACACAATTCTAATGGATCTGGCCTAGATTTGCACCAACCTAGCCTAGATCCTCACTAATCAAGCCTAGGTATTCGTAAATTCAGGATGAATCCATGTAGATCTGGCCTAACTCTGGAAGGACCCAACCTAGATCCATATGCACCGAAGCAGATCTGTGCAAATTTAAATTAGATCTATGTAAATCAACCTAAATCTATTTGAATCTACCTAGATTTGCATGGATCCAAATTGCAATACCTAATGCATTATTTCTTGCAAGAACAATATTACTGCACATATTGACCCAAATAGTTATTGTTCTGTGCACTCTCAAATGGTGCCAAAAGATACTGCATCTACAGAGCTGCCATGTTGGTTTGCTTCATTTTCAGATGTACAAAACCAAAAAGTTATTGCACTTGAGCTTTGAATGCAAAAATTAAACGTAGTTAGTTGTTATTCTTATGATTTTGAGGTAGAAACATTAATGTGGAACTTCTATTAAATGTAATCCTTACAACAACAGCGATGACAATAAAGAAACAATAATGCCCCAAGTTAATAAGCAATAAAAGATATTTGTTTGTTCCTGATCGAACCACAGATATCATCTCACAAAGAGCTCAATAGAGGGAAAAGGTTTGTAGCTAACTCCAAATATTTAGGTTAGTAAAAGTTATTATTGCTGAAGTATATGGCTCCACAAGTTTCCATGACTATGCCCAATGGACCCTTGTCAAATGACACCATATCATATATCTTATATTATTTACTATGTGCACTATCATCTTTTGTGAGCATTTAGGTGCTTATACAGTGCCCTAAATTCTATATTTAAAATCACAATGCCAAAATGAAGGATTTAAAGATCAACCCAGTATTGGTTTCAATAACCTTTTGGGCCAGTGTGGGAAGGTGTAGTGACCAGAACCACCCAGTACCTCTAATAAATAGAAAAGTAGTAAATATGAACCGATACTGAGGTATATTCTTTGTACCATCTGATCGGTATATGAAACCTTGGCTAAAAATGTGAAAGATAACCTCCTCAAAAAGCTTACTAAATTATCAAAGGCTTAAAAATGATATCTACAAAGAAGAAAAACTAATTAATTGGTATTTCCCACATCTATGAGCTCTTAAGAAAATGCAAAGAAAAAAAGGCGTTAGTAATAAGTATGTATCTGTTTTGACAGGTGACGGAAATATGCAACTGGATCGCACTAACTGCTAAGCAGAGAAAGATAGTAATAGATTACCAGGAACAGCCTTCAAAGCCCGCTGAAAAATTTTAATTGCAGAATCCACAGAACCACTATTTGCATGCCATGTAGCATAATCATACCACAGATCAGGATAATGATAGAGATACATGAGACTCTGGATATTAGTAAAAGATATTTAGATATAATTCATGAGACTATAAAAAAAAATTCCTAGAACTATGGAAGAACATATATTAAAGTGTATCCAAAAAACACTAAGAATGGATAACTTAGAAGATATCATAATTACCAGCTGATATGCTAAATAAGAGTTCATAATTACATAATAACATTACAATAAACTGAATCCTTTATCTTATTTCATATACTTCAACTCCGAATATGATCAAGGAAAAGAGAAACAACATATACTCAACTCTTGCAAATGTATTACATCTGCTAACAGAGCCAACTAGCCAGCTGTGCCCAGCATGCCACAAGGGTACCGGCACAAGGCACAATGCATGTAAAACCAACCATCTATTTGGTTTTTGGAATGTTACTATTATGGGCACACCTCTGTTCCATCACTGAATAATGAAACCCTTACTCTAGAGTACCTGCTCATACGTGAAGGTAATCCGTCTATTGGCAGATGCAGTGTCGATCCTTTGTGGGTTCCCTCTGGACAACAACCAACAGAGAATTAGTTGGAAGAGTATAATGCACTTGCCCAAGATCTATATTAATATACATGGAGAATGCTCTCTGTCAGGAACCTAAGGTAACAGGAAAAAATTGTGTTTGCTTTCAATTCGACAAGAACAGGAATCGAAAAGAGCACTATTCAGAAGCTAAATAAGAAACTACCATATTTCAAGAGCTCCTTTAACCCTCTACGTAAGGAATCTGGAACTACAGTACCAATTAACTGTAGTTTTATAAGGCAAGATACTGGAAGTGTTAGTGTATATTGGATACCAAGCTACATGCCATACTCGAAGTTTATTGGTGTGCTACCTCATACTAGCACAAAAGATGTTCTTCTGCAAAGCTAAGTATGACTGCTTCCAAAATACGAACCAACATAAAGTTCAGGTTATACTTGTGCATTTAAAGGTGGACAGAGGCAACAAATTCATCTTTGATATCGGACCATATCAGTCCCCTCTTACATTGGTATGATATATTAGTAAAGTATACTTCGGTATTTACTAAAATTAATAAAATATTTTTTTTTGGGAACACCTGAATATAATAAAATAATAAAATATTGTCCACTGGTACATGGTTATTAGTTTTTTATGGTTTGTATACGTGGCATACCACAAATTTTGAATCCAAGGATGTGGACATGTAACATTAGCATGTCATGATCTATGTCAGCTTAACTTGGCAGGAAATGGCACAAACACATTGGCAATGCCAACTGGGAATAAGCACTATAGGCCATATTTCAATTCTTGAGCTGAAATATTTGTCCTAATGCAAGCCATGAATTGACATATAATCTTATATGCCTCTATCAAAGTAAAACAATAACATTAACAAGTTAATGTCAGCTTCGATTTTCAAGTTTGAAGGTCTTAAAAATCAAGAGCGATATATATGGTAACTCCTGCTGTTCTAAGAAGTAAATATATTGCAGAATCTAACTGCCTGTCGAGACCTCAAAGCTCCACTTTGTTTTTGGTTGGAACCATAGAGCTTTGGTTTCAGTTCACATTGTTTCAAAAGTTTCATTCCAAGTCCAATGTTTTAATAAAGAATACAAAGAAACACAGAAGTGCCAAATTACCAAATGAGAATCAGAAAAAACTCTTTTCAATGGATTGAGTATGTTGTGCAATGTATTCTCCAGAATCTATATTTGTGTAGCTTTGGAAGTTCCAACACGAAAATACTATAGCACAAGGTTCATTATACCGTAACATACCGCTTAGTACGGATGGTACATACTGGTCCAACAGGGAACCAGTATGGCGGTACATCAGTATGCCCCCATGTACCATATATCAGTACACTTGATACAACTCGATACGTATCGTACCATAAGGTTTGATGTACCCAAGCATACTGCTCGGCACAGGCGATATGTACCGATTCGACAGAGGACCAGTACGAGCAATACATCGAAACACTCTAATGTACTGTGTTGGTATGCTCAGCACAGCTCGATACGTGTCATACTGATAGCTGGTCAATACACCAGTATGATACGAACCATGTCGTACCGACAACTGATCGATACACTAGTACGGACCAATAAGACGAACCATGCTATAGCAAACATTTTGGTTTTTTATTGATTCTGCAAGTATAGGTGATCTTTTCAAATGCCACAAGTTATCACATGACATATTTTAAATTTTATATTAGTTACCAAGATTGCCTAAAGAGAAGGAAAAAAGGGAAGCCAAACAAGTAGAGAAAAGAGACAAAGACAAATCTTAGGCTTGATTGGAGATTTTGATTCTTGATTAAAGATTCCATCCATACAAGAAAATTAGTATGATAATAATTGAAGGCTTAATAAAGAAAAAACCTATAAATTAAATATATTATAAAAAGGATGATTATTTGCCAAAAACAAATCTAGAAATATATATCATGCAAAGAAGGAAAGAAAAATGATTGATGTGCATTCACTTAGTAGATGTAATCTTCTTGATTACTTTGTTTCCTCGTTTATATTTTTTTTCTTTTTTTCTTTTTTTCTTTTAGTACCTAGGGTTTTATAAAGGAGGAAGGAATATTCTGAGATACTTACAAAATGACTGAATGAATGAAGTCTTTTCTATATTGTGTTTTTGTGGTGTGAGGTCACATTCTTTTCTAGATCGTGTGATCTCATCGTCCATGCGTGACCTGAGATTTAATGCTCAAGCCAGAATAAGTGGGATCTTTTTTTCCTTTCATCTCATCTAATATCTGTTCTTTTCTATTCTACAACTACAAAACCTATAAAATTTAAGTTCTTTACTCATTCATGCTTTTGTCCTACATCAGATTTGATATTAATCACTTGTCATATATCATATTGATAACAGAGCAATTTGTCCAACATCTGATTTGGTACCAGAGTACTTGTCCTACATCACAACAAACATCTTCTTAACTCCACCACAAAACCAGTCAAAAAAACTATTTTGTTCATGAAGCTAACTCCCAAATATTAGGCCTGTAAATGAATCCGATTTGGACCAATCTTAAGATGCAAGTTTTTAGGGGGAAAAAATTAAGATGCAACCGTGATAACCTAGAAACTGATTCATGTCCCATTCAACTATATTGAAGATTTGACCTAGATACCTAAACCAATGCAATTGCATCTCAATGACATTTCTGTCACCTTCAGGAGAATAAAGTAATAGGATTCTCAACTTTTTTCTCTATTTGGACCATAGGATCAAATTTTATTTTCGATCCATGTTTGACATATGCATAGATCTTAAAGCATGTAAGAATGTGTAACCTAAAAAATGTCACTGATCTGCTACCAATAAGGAGTTGTGCAACTTATTTTTTGGCTGTTTCAGTTTCAAAGTTAAGTTTATTGGTTTAAAATTTAGAACAAAAAAACTGAAACTAATGCTGGATAAGTTTGACTTCATTTAACATTCATTTAACTTTAACCTAAACAGCTATCAGGTCAGATGTACAATTAGTGTACGAAAAAAAATAAAGTTACTGGCTTACTTCTCAAAAATCAGAAGTCTTTTCCAAGCCATGCATTGTTGCTCTTCCTGCAAGTAGAAATTCTTACAAGTTAATAATTAACATAGGGGAGAGAAGTAGAAGAGATAGATAGAGATCGAGAGAGAGAGATCTGAAGCCAAAAGGATGAAGATGAGATTGGATGCACAACTGAAAAACTCATTTGATAAAGTGGGGAGGTCGAGGAATTACAAAATTTACTAGCTGTCCAAATTAATGAAAAAAGTAATACTTCTCAGTAATACTGGGAACATGAAGACATATATATTAGTTTTCTCAACAAAAAAAAAAAGATTATAAATTAATCCTATCATATGTTCTTACAAGGTACAACCTTGTATTGCACACTACAGTCTCAATGACTTGCACCACCCTGGCACCTATTTTGCTGGTAGTGTTAATGCCCATCACATGCCATTATAAGGATGTGACAACACAACATTGGGCTGACAACCTGACACAGATGTCATGTCACTATGCATAAAACTCTTGCATCTCAGCTGGGCACATATATATCACCATGTCACCAGTGTGGTTGATGCTGCTAAATTTGGAAAACTCATGGCTTCATGTTTTTTATATCTGCCTGTGCTTTCCTTTTGTTTACCTTCTTCAAATCATGTATACTAATTCATAAGGGAAAATATAAATTCAAAGGTAAAAGTTAATTTGCCTCTTAAGACTCTTGTTTTCAAATAAAATCAAAGAAAGATCTGGAGAAAGTAAGATCTTTACACAGGATCATCAATGCAAAGATAGTAACAACCAAATGACAACAATTATACTGTTGATAATATATATTAAATACATGAAGATAAATAGATTGTTCTCAGAATAAGGATGATAGAGAAATTTGGATCAGACAGTAAACAATTGTAGATCCTAGTTTGGTTCATAGTAGCTAATTGAGCACCTAATATGCTGCTAAAATAGCTTCAAACAAAAGCTTAAACATTTACCTAGTTAAATGTTTAGCAGCCACTTGATCAACTTAGCAGTTCAAAGGGCCAATATCTAAATGCTTAAGTAGCAATTTAGAAGCATAATTTTTTGCAATTAATAATTTAATATAACTTTTCTTTAGAACAATTTGGAAGTGAAATGTCTAGTAAAGTTGATATCTCGAATGATAACTAAATTGAACATACCTCTATATCATCTAAGATGAACCAATAATATTAATGTGCTTCAGTAGTTTTCTATTTCTTCCTTTTTGAAGTATTCAGTATCCAAGTGGGCATGTCTAACTTAGTTTACTATTTCTTCCTTTTGAAGTATCCAGTATCCAATTGCATGTCTAACTCATTGGCTATTAGTGTAATGACCAAGAGAATACAGCTACCTGATATATAAATGATCTGAGAATTATATTATTGTGATAATTATAAGTTTCTTCCTGGTGAGGTTCTTCAGAATCTAAAGCATGTTTCGCTAAACCAGGGGAGCGCAAAAGACATAATATGCTTGACCCATCATTGAGCAGTTCTTTCTTAGAATTCCAACCGCTAGATGAAGGGGTCATCATTTTTCTTTCTTTTGATCTTAAATTTTTTGGACTATATTACTTAGTTGTTATCTATTTTTATTTTTGCTACCATCATTATCATTTTCTGTTCCTGAGTAACAATAAGATAAACCAATAACAATAAACATATAAACTAAGGAGATAGTAAGAATAACTAGATGATTACACTAATCTGCTATATAGCTTGGCAGTTGCCCTTGCAGAAGTATAGGCACTAACATTGTTTTGCTTTTAATTGAAGAAAACTCCACGTTTCTCAGCAAAATTTGGGATAAAGTAACAATGACATCTAACAACATTGATATGCATAAGTTACTTCAATATTAGACAAGTTGAAGTATCAAACCTAAAGTAAAAACTGAAGTAAACCTTGTAAGAGCCGGTTGGAGGCACAGCAAGCATATTCCAGTCAATTTCATCAACATATTTTTTCCGCTCTCTGTATACAGCCTTGGCACTATTAAACTTTGGTTGATATTCAGATAAAAGCCCTTTTGCCTATAGAATTGAGTAAAAAAATAAAAGTATCATGCATTAAGAAAATGAACAACCTGAAAGAAATCATTTAAACTTGCATAACAAATAATTTTTCACAAGGATCTCTCATATAAGTTCCAAACTTGTATTGCATTTAATATTCAGATTCGTAAACCTTTAAGTTCTTACCAACGTGCGACTAACAGAGTTCTCAAAGTTTTCATAGTCTTTCCAGAGCTGTTCTACATTATGAGTTGGAGTTACAATTGCTCTTTGGTAGGCTTTCCTTACAGAAGTCATGTGATGTGATTCTTCTTGAGCTGTCTTAGCCTAATTGAACAAGTGTAAAAGTCATGCCATCATTTTCATATAAAATGCTATAAGTAATCTTAGCAAAACACAAGGAATAGAGACTGAAATGGACTGCACCGACTGGCAATGACTTCAAGAAAGCAATGTACTCCAACCATACAGGTCCAGAAGCAATATCGTATCCTGTTTAAGTATGAATAGAGTCAGATTACTAAATGCTCAACAATGAAGCCAAAAACTTATGCTAGCATTATCAAATATGAAAGTTGGACAAATTCAAGTATCACCTAAAACAAAACAGAAGGGAAAAATGAACAAAAATGCCGGATATGACCAAAAACTCCACATGCTGTTTGTGATTAATTAAGTTGTATCCTAAGACAGCCTCAACTGTTAAGAGGTTATTTGTCTTGACAAAAAGGAAGTGATGGCCATGAGGAAAATGAGCACCAAACCATGTTGACATGGTTCATAAGATAAAAGAGATAAAAAGCTTTTTCTAATATGCAAATATCTTTAAACTCCAGAGTCTATATTGGCATGTAAATGTTGCAGGAAGAAATTATGAACATTTGCATAATGGTTGCCTTCTTATAAAAGGCATTTGCTTGAACACCTTGAAATAAATTTCCACAAAATCAAATATATAATTATTGAACTCTTAATTCTATTCATCTTCTTTTTGTTAACATTTATAGTTATGGACCTGATAAGACATTTACAGAGATGTATAATAGCTTAATTTGTTGAATTAAAAGAAAAGGTCTTTGAAACAACTGTACATCACATGCGACACAGGACTTCCAAGATGAAAAACTTTCAAAAGAAACTCCAAACAGCAGAGGTGCTTGACTATACCAACATAGTTCAGCATGAAATCAAAAGCTTTCTTGGTTTCCTCTACACCCTCAAGTCCCTTCTTCTCATTTACTTTCTTTATAAAGCTAATGTAACACCGCCTACACATTGAAAATAAGCAATGTCAATAAGCATCCAAAAGAATAAAAAGCAATAACTTGTTAACATAAGAATTTTTTCCCATGACTATAAGATTTAACAAGCAGTACCAGGTTATGAGATTTCACAGTATTTTGACAATATCATACAGTACACATTGGTATGTCAGAATTCAGAAACACAATATACTGACCAAATATCAATATTAAATATTTTTAATATGTTTTGGGTGTACCAGACAGTATGATATCATACTAATCAGTATGTCTCAGTCCAATAGTGTTATAGACTATCGTATTAGTGCCAGTATCTAAACCTCAAGCTGAATTCTACAATGATAACTTTCCAAAAAAGGATGTTGCATTAGGAGAATCCGAAAATACTTAAATAATTATATTGTTACTAAGATTAACTCCAGCTACTTATAAATTTTTCATACAGGACTTAAACAATAATATTCCAACTAAATTTTGAAAAGCCTACCACGGTTCAAGACAAAAGAAAGACATTTTTCTGACAGTGGATTAATATAGAGGTGAAGCTAGATCCATCCACCTGTCAATCAAGTTCTTATGCAACTGAAAAATCACAAATATTAAGTGCTAATGGTTTTAGACAAACCCTCTCACCCCGGTTCAGATTTATTCCTCCAGCTGAAATTATACAAAAGTAAAATCTACAATGCATACACGGTTATTAAAAGGTACCACAAAATCTTTGTTGCTTTAGGCCTGCCAAAATTATGGCTTAAAGTATTTAGTGCATCCAACAGAAAGTTTTGGATACACGATCACCTCAATAATTTTTTGTGTACCACCCTTCGTATTTCCTGATATCATTTTATCACCCATAACTGTGCCTCAGATTGTTTTAACAAAAAGCTGTAATCAAAAGAAATACAAGGATGAAGAACAAGATTTACACCAAATGTAACTATTACCATCTACATGTTACAGTGGCAATCACATAGCCTATCATGATTTGTTACGTCAATAGCCTACTGTGCTTCTACAGGCATATTAGAACAACCAATAATTTAGCTTGAAAAAAGAAAATCTGTTTACCAATTGTAGCACTGCTTATACGAGGATCTTTTTTTTATTTGATCAAGGGTAATTATGGGACGACAAAATGAAAAAAAGCAACAAAAATACTTTTACGAGTTGTTTGAGATGACAAGAATGCTTAAGATGGTAATAAAACAGTCTTCATTGCTACTGTGGATTCCATGCCTCGAAATTTAATTATTTACTCTCTTTGAATTTGGACATGTGAAAATCATTCAAATAAACTAAATGGCAAATGACATTATTGATAATAATGTATTAGCACTAACAATTAAAACCTGACCAAGTCTTACTCAATCACCCGAAGAAGTGTTTACCCTTCCTAGATAAGTCAGGTAAAATATTAACATTTTAGATTTCATTAGCATACACAAGAGTAAAGACCCAAAGAGAGCATAAGTTTGGCTGTCATCCAAGTTTGGAACCTCAAAACAAAGGAAAATGAGAACATATCGGTCAAGGCCGTATAGGCAAAATGTCAGATGGAAATACTCATGGTTCACTATTCTGCAAACCCACTGTTTTGACGGACCGGTATATATTGGGTGGTCCATACCGGAAATTCAAAAGTGCTAAAAGCTATAAACTAAGGATGTCATCATGAGATCCTTGAGTTTCCATCTTTGTTCATTTTTAACATCAGTTTTTCCTTCATACTCAAAAAATTTGAAATTGACCTTACTGATTCAAATACCTTTTTCCTTCCATTAGTTAGTGGCTTTCACATAATAGTAAACAAAGGCATTTAACGCTACAAGTGCACAACCTAAAAAGGAATACCTTCAAATACACAAAAAGGAAAGAAAAAAAAACATATGGCGATCCTACTAAAAATAAATCCATCAACAATATATAGATACAAGGAAATGTGATGAATCTTTTGGATATTTCCTTCAAGACCTTATCCAAACACCCCAGAAAAGAGCTAGATTCAGCAAAAGCAGATGCTTCATGACTTTATCTCAATGATGTAAAGAGCTAGGAGTTTTGATGCTATATGAGCAAATAAAATATAGAACTTAACTTTGCTCAATTATAACTTGTCCAGCTCTCTTTACAAGTTGCTATTGATTCAGCACGTAAGTGCTGCTTGCAGTATACATGTTACCACCATAATGTGTTCTAAATGATAAGGCACGCCTTAAGAGGTAGATATCCTAGGAATCATGTCGAAAGCACTTAACAGATCATCTGGATAGATAGTTTAGAGATGGGAGTATAAAAAAAGGTCTTTTGTAGACCTGAAAAATCAGCACATCTAATATATCTCCACAATGTCAATCAAATTACAAAAGTTATTCATTTTAGTAGTCAAACATTAAATGAAAGATAATGTCAGGTATTAAGAAATTTAATTATAACAAAAATTCATTTCAATGAACGGTTATTGGAGGAGTAATGTAAGATATGCTTTCTATGAATTGGAGCGCCAAAATAAAAGAATATAAAAGGCAGGCAGCGAAGGAGAGCACAAGGAAGGCAGGTCATAGTACTAAGGATATTAAGTTTCTTCCAACTCACAATTCACCATATCTCAAAATTAATCCACTTTTTTCCAACCTGACCAATCTAAATTATCGCTCTAGAATAAACATAAATATAGAATACTACTTTTTAGGAATATTCATATTCCCACAAAGTTCCATATAGACATCTTAAGTTATCCAAACTTGAGTTCTGATGCTTAGTAACTTCTCTAAGCCATACTACATTCAACTAAATGCACAGAACTCCTAGCATCAATACAATACAAAAGAAAAACACAAGAACAATCACCAAAAGTAGTTTTAAAAAAAATAACATAAAAACGATAAAAAGTAAAAGCTGAAAAACACAGATTTGACTCAATTAACCCTAAGTCTCATCCTACATCAGTTTTTTTTCATGCTCTGAATATTCTAGCATTTTGATGAAATCAGAGTGCAAGAAACAAAAGCAGGAACCACTATTTTTGGGGTCCATATTTTAATTAAAAAATCATAATTCACCAAAAGACAATTAGCACAATATGTCTGTGTCATATTGCAATCCCTCACCTCAGCTGTGGGTTTATTCAAAAATTGTGTGTTCACCCCCATTTATTGAGGACTTCATATTCAAAAATTTCATATCATTTCGAACCATGAGAACAGTTTACAAAATATTGAATAGAAATGGAAACTATATGCCCATGAATAATTACAATAGTTATATGCAGGAAATAGCATCAAACAACTCTGTGGTCTCAATTTCATAAAATTGAATTGTTAAAAGGATGACTAAACATTTGGGGCAACAAAAGGTCGATATTAAATCTTAAAGAATAATGAGCAAAGTTTATAATATGCCAAAGCTATCAATGTGAAACTGGAGGCCAATATATAGAAACAACAATAATACTCAGGATCTAACTTCTTAACTGACGTAGGATTTTAAATTTTCATCAAAAGAAATTATTGAAATGGCATTAATACCAGTGTACATGAAAAAAACTAAGGTACGTTGCTCACTTTAAAAGATTAAGAAAAACTATAATATTTGTTACTAAAAGAGTCACTCCCTTAAATATATTAAACAATAAACAAAGCCTACCAAAGAGATATTTGAAGACAATTCAATAAACACCGACTGAAAATTTGTTTTGTAACTTCATCATTGTTGATAGCCATGTATGCCTCCACATATTGCTTCCAGTATTTTGCCTGCAGATGCAAGAGGAATCCAAATAAGAAGGAAACAGCTCTTAAAGTGATTATTTCAATAGCTACCAGTAGGCAAGAAGTTTATTCAAGTTGGCGAGAGCCTGAGAATCACGACAATCTCTGCATTACGCCTTCCTCCGACCATGAAAAATTATTTTACAACTCCATATTAACCTCTAGTGACACAATGCATCTTTTCTTCCTTTTCATGGAATTGTTTTCAAGCACGTCAATCTGGGAAAAGGAAAAGTAACATAGAAATAAAATATAAACCACTTACAGCCGTGGGAAATGTACAAAGGAGCTGCTCATAGATTGGAGCCGCCTCGGTGATAGGAAGAGCCTTCAGAAACAACAAGTGTAAATCAGATAAACACAAGCAACCAAATCTCACTCACGCATCACTCGAGTGACAGAAGAAAATCCTCTCTTAATAATAATAGTAACAAAGAAGTTACAACTTTGAGGTAAATTATCTAACATAGAAATGGACGCGAAAGCTCACCTGGGCCTCATTCACAAGAATTTCGGCAGCTTCGACATTGTATATGTCGGTAGTGGCGTTATCATCGCCTTTCTACTCAAGAAACAAGAATCAGGGTACAAAATCGTACACAAACCCAGGTAGACAAAAGACGCCCAAATAACTTAACCCTAAACGCCGGGAGCAAAATAACCTAGAAAATCAGGAACTTGCCTTGGGCTCCTCGGTCATCGCTCTCTGGTGCTTGTCTAGAGCAAAAGATCCCAGAACTTCGGTTCCAATAGAGGAACAGACGGCAAGATGGGAGTATACACGGACTCGTTGTTCTTGGTGCGATCAAAGGCCGGAAACCCTTGGCGAGGGTTTCGAAGATCCAACAGCGACGAGACGGAGCCGAAGAGCACGGTTGGAGATTGAAGAGCGGAGGGAAGGGGGCACCAGAAAGCGTGAACTTTCCCGCATCCCACGGAGCGACCGAGAGGGGGCGGAGCCGGAAACGACCCTCCGTCGATCGCTTCGCCAAATCTTGCTTCGTCGTGCCTCTTTGCGCTTGGAAACCGTATATCCGACCCGTTTAAATCGGATCGGGTTTCATCAGAAATTGGAACGGGTTCGGGTAGTGCTTTAACTCTCGTTTCGGGTAGAGTAAATAGACGAATATACTGTCTATTATTAACTGATGTTTAACTGTTGATTCGGGTTTGAATCTCTAATCGCATTTGTGTCGGTTTCGGGAGGATCCGAATTAGCGGTCGAATTGGCTAATAGACGTCTAATCTGCTGAACCCAAGTCGAGCAAATTTGATGGATACCACCAGATTTGGGTTAAATCATGCGACCGTTGCATGGCTGGGGCATTAGCAGTACAGCCATCACACATATTGTCATGGTTATGTGCTTTCTACTTTTCTCACATCAAAAAAATTATTAAGTTCAAATTAAGATTCAAAGATTATTAGCATATTAATCATAATATATGTGCTTTCTACGTTCATCACATCAAAAATAATTATTAAGTTCAAATTAAGATTCAAAGCATATTAATCATAATATTAGTCTTCAACTTATCACTATTTTCGATTTGACATCGTGAGATAATGAAGTACACAAAACACTAAATTTAGAATTCTTCTTTACTTTTTCACCCAATTTTATATTTTGACAAAAATTATATTATCGTTTTTTCACCAAATAAATTGGTAAAATAAAAACAATTTAACAAAAAGTTACTCTCAAAAGTCATGGATTTTTAAAATAATCATATGTTTTCTTGACAAGTTATAGTGTCAATTTTGATCAGGGTTTTATAATATCAAAATTAGACAAAGGATAATTCAAATGTGATGATGCATCGAGTGAAATACTTTGCCTTGTTAAGAAGTATCAGATGCCTTGATACTTTACATCATTAAATTAAATATTTTGATATTTACATCATTAAGTTAAATATAATTTTCTATGTTTATCACATCAAAAATAATTATTAAGTTCAAATTAAGATTCAAGGATTATTAACCTATCTATCATAATATTTTGGACTCATTACATATTAGTCTTTAATTTATCATTATTTACAATTCGACATCATGTGATAATGAAGTGTAACTAAAAACTAAATTTAGTTTTTTTTGTTTACTCATTTATATATTTTTGACAAAATTATATTGTCATTATTTGCCAAATAAATCAGAAGAATTAAATAATTTAACAAAAATATTTTATTTCCAATAATCATATGTACTTTTACATTAGAGGTAACTATTTTCTTGATGGATGTTAATGACAATTTGGTCATCAACTCAATGTGACAACATTAACTCAATATTTTTAATATATCTTACTGTATTTAGAATCGACAAGAAATTTGTTTGAAAGTGAATTGTGATATGAAGATTAACCAAGGAATATATCTCCCTCCTTAGGGAGTCTTCTTCCAAACTCATAATGTGACTTGGTAGGAGGTAAAACTTACATAGAAGTTATACCTAATAAAATCCTTTTATGTTTAAGTCAATATTTTTCTATGCAAGGGTTTGAGATTTTAAATGAGATTCAAGAGTTCAAAATGAGAATGTACTCATCCTAACATGATATGTCTAGTTGGTATATTGTTGGATACTTGTTGTTATAGAGGTTAATAATTGGTTAGGTTAATATCTAGTCTAATAAATGACTTGAAGGTGTCTAATTGAACTAGCAAAAGGAACTAACATTTGGCATATAAAAGTTGATGAGATAGAAATTGATATGTAAATACATTCAAAATAAAATGATCGATAAGTAAATAACCTCAAATTAAGTTATAAAATTGATTTAAACAGGTCTGGTTCTTTACTTTAAAATTAGTCATATAAAGTGCCTCAAAACAATGTTATATTGGTAAACAAAAAAACTTTGCACATCCAATAACATTTTTGCCTCCTTATAAGTTGAAGAGTAGTATCCTTTGTTGTATTAACAGAAATGGAAGAAGGTGAGCAGGGCAAAAAAGATAAAAGGAAACAGGAAAAACAATTAAAAAGAAGATATATATAAAAAAAGAGAAAAATCAAGAAAGAGAACTTTGTCTCTTTTGTTATATATTATATTGTATTATGTATATATATTTATTACACTATTAAATATTCCCATCCTACTAATATCCTGGTATGCTTAGACTCAATTCGATTTAATCTTGATACCATAAATTTAGTGAGATTGTACATGTTAGAAAGCTGCAACTCTTTTAGTGCTATGATTTGAGGTGCAGTCTTTCACATACAGGAGTGCTCGATTGTAATCATCCTTCAGTAAAATCTGTGTACTCTGAAGACTCCATCAAATGAAAATTTCTTCTTCTTCACACAGATCACAAAGGATGGGAAATGGAACATTTCAGCAACCTAATTTTCAATGATCCACCCGACACAATAAAACCCACTTCCATTATTGAGAAGGCTCACATAAAAAACACTTCAATGAACAGGTTAGAAGTCGATGAATTTATGCACCATTCAAGTTATCATTGCCATGAATTATGTAACCGCCACTTGAGCTCATCATTGTGTTTTCCATTGGATGTCACTGAATCTAAATACCTTCGCAAAGCAGTGAATCAGCTGCTCATGGATCACTTCATCAGGTGGTAGTTCCATCTCTGTCTCTCTTTTTAAGGATGTAACACCTTTGTCCGGAATTCCACAAGGCACAATATGCTTGAAGTAGCTCAGATCAGGATCAATATTGAAGGCCAATCCATGTGAAGTGATGCCTGAACTTATTCGAACACCAATTGCACCAATTTTTCGGTCACCAACCCACACCCCTGTCTCACCTGTTTTCCCCGCATGGGCGTTGACACCATAGAAGGAAGCTACTTCTATCATCACTGACTCCAGCCCTTCAACATAATTCCTTGCACCACATCCGATATCTCTCAGAGAAACAATGGGATAAAGAATAGCTTGCCTTGGTCCGTGAAATGTGATGTCACCACCTCTTTCTGTGTAGTGAAGCTCAGCACCCATGGTTTTAAGATCAGCCTCAGACACCAATAAGTTATGATCTGTTCGCCTTTTTCCAAGTGTATATGTTGGTGGATGCTGAAGGGATAGGATAGTATCCAGAATTTTACCGGATTTTCTATCAGAAGCAAGCCTTTCTTGGAGCTTAAGTGCATCGAAATAATTAATAATTCCAAACTTACAGGCCCCGAGGCTCCTCTGCAGTCTCATATGGTGTATCTTCAGTTGAAATAGAAAACAAATATAATGATCAACAATATCGACCATATATTATTCTCAGATCTGCAAGGATTGAAAGACCTATGCTGATCTCAGGTCCTCAGACTCTTGCATACATCTGCAAAATAGTTCATCTCATCAATGAAAATGAGTGGCAACATATAATATAATTGCGAATAAACAAGAAGTACTTGGATACACAAAATGACAAGTAATCTAGATAATTTTCCGGTATATTGGAATAAACCCATTGGAAGTGATCTCACTAGAAAATCAATGAACATTTAGTGCTCTTAAGCTTACTGTGTAGGAAAATAAATAACCATTATTATGTACCGAGAGGTAATAACTAACTGAAGCCTGTAAGAACCTTTTTTGCATTTGTGGTAAAAAGGTAACGCAATAAGAAACTGTAAAAATTTAACCTAATGTTAGAAGAATAAACAAGACAACTTTAAAGAACTAATATATTATAATAAAATGTGGGAAAACAAAAAAGAAGGATGACTGATGAGGGAGGAAGCAAAGTATTTAGAAAGAAGCTCACAAACTCTTCCTGCAACCTAGATACAAGAGAAATTGCTTAGGAGACTTTTACTTTTTTCAGTGTAGTGCCAAAAATGGGCAGAACCAACACCATGTTTTCTAAGCATCGATGCTGAATTATACTTTGCAACATGAAGTAAACAGGAGCTTGTTTGCTTCGGTTAGCCAAATTCTCAACCTGCACTGATTTGTGGCATCAGCAAAATACTGCTAGTGTTTGTTCCAAAAATGAAATCCCTTAGCACCCTGAAGACCATTCTTTGTGACAGAGAGGATCAAACTTGGGTCTCCCCAGAAGCAGCCGATGCCTAGGAAAGCCATATAGATAGCTTACAACAATTACGAGGCTTTAAACTTCAACAGAGACGTATATGAAAAAGTTTATTGGCTTTGCAGGGAGGACTATTGCCCTTCAATTTTAATTTTATAGTGAAAAGTTTATTCTATTCAACACCTGGTACATTTGAAGGCCAGAAAAAAATATTGTCTATGTTCATCGAAAAACATAAACTTCTCGGCATAGGTAGGTATCACATATGCAAGTAGAACCATATGGGTATCCAGTCTTTTGGCTTCATCTACAAAACAAAAAATATATTACAAAAATAAAATATCAATCTCTAAAGTAGATGATACTTACGATACAAGCTTCTAATTGGCATCTATCTTTATATTTTTGGATCTCTTCAATCAATAGGGAACCCAATTATTTAAATGACAAGTAAAATATGCACTGCACAAAGTCCAAGAGAAACAAAAAGCCAGTGAAAAAGAATTGTAATGCTGCATCACCTTGCAGTAGTTGCCGGTTTGGTATATTTTTAGAAGATTAACGTTTTGCACTAGGATTTGATGTGTTAAGACATTGACATTGTGCTGCCAGTGTACGAGTGCATACATGGGTGCATATCTTCCCCAACGATGGATTCACAGGATGTGGAGGAAAAAAATTAAAGTTATAAAATTTCTGTTAATTTATTTTTTTTGTCGATGCTGTTCTGAATTTGATATTTTGGGGCCTCCGATGCTATATGAAATGAGGTGTTTGAACCATATTGAGTTCTAATGTAAATGGAGTCTCAAATTGTGGGGTTATAGCAACATGATACATAAATTGATCATGTTCTCTTTCAATTGGTTGGAAGATAGGAGTCTCAGTATCTAGCAACAAAAGCATACTGCGGTGCACAAAGACACTATTATTTATCTCATCAACCTAAAGCTTGGACTGACATGAATTCTACAGCCATCTGGTGTGCCATGAAACCAAGCTCCAATGATCATTAAATTAACATCAACTGAAGCAATTTTAAATAGGTTATACTCCAATGTCGAACAACTAATTTGTATCAGTTACATAACGTTATGGGCAATTAGATACTAATCAAGTAGCAATGTTGGCTAAATGAACTTGGTAGGACTGGGAGCTAAGCGCTAAAAGGTGCCAAGGTGCCGAAACAGAGTCGCCAGCCGCTCACAAATATTATAATTTTTAAAAATAAATGATTAAGGAGCAATATGATCAATAAAATAAAATTGAGAAATTACATGAGTTCTATACCACTTTATATTTCAAATATCATCACCAAAATATTAAATTACATTCATTTAAAATACCAAAGTACTATATTGTTCAAATCTAATAATAAAAATGACAAAATAAGAGAAGATTACCATTAAAAATCCAACAATTTCTCTCAAGAAAGTCAATGATCATCAAATCCGTATAGACTATTATTGATAATGATTAACAAGAGAGAAAAAGAGAAAAGGAAAGAAACAGAGGGAAGGAGACCAAGAAACAGAGAGGAGGAGAAACAGGGAGCATGCTGTTGACTGTTGGTTGGGAGGGGAGAGGAAGATGCAGAGAGAAGGCGAAGTGGGGTGTAACTATCGGGGCCTGTCGGGGTCGGAGTAGGATGGTGGAGAGGGGGACTGTCGAGATCGAAAGACGAGTCAGAGGACGGCGAGGATGGCTATCGGGGTCGGCGGGGGGCGACGGAGGAGGACAAGATGAGGACAGCGACGGGCGGCGCGGGGGGAGGAGGAGGGATAAGGGAGCTGTCGAGGAGAGGGCGAGGGGCGGCGGACGAAGAAGAGAGGAGCTATCGGGGAGGGGAAAGAGAAACATATAGAGTTACCGTGAGAAGAAGACACCATGGAGGTCTGCCTTGCGCACGGAAGCCGCTGGCCGGAGGCTGCGTGAGGGGGCGACACTGAAGGAGGAGAGAGAGAGAGAGAGAGAGAGAGAGAGAGAGGAAGAGCCTCTCGGAGGAAGACGCCGTCGCCGCGATTAGGTTTCCGAAGGCAGGTAACGGGTTGGGTCCGTGAGATCGTCCAAACCCACAACAGATTTCGATAATGTCTCAAGACCCTATGAATGTCATAACGGATCAAATACGTTCAACCCGAAATTGTTAAAACACATCCACGAACCAAGTTGTTTAATTAACATTATAGATAGACCGATCGAAATCCGATACTAAAAATATGAATGCAACATTGTTGTGCTACTGTTCTAATTTGTTCAAAATCATACATGTCTTATAGAAATTACAAATCACTGTCTTGAAGTAGTTTAACATGAAATAATACTCACATTTACATTTCATGACAGCTTAGGCACAAACCAAACCAAGTTATCTCCGAGCTCCGACGGTAAACAGGCGGTAACACTGCGTTCCTCCAAGCTAAAAACACCCAAATCACGGGCGTGCTTCTTTTCCTCAGAAACCACGACGTCCCAGAAATCGTCAGTAAAATAAATGCAATTGGCCTTGAGAGAAGGCACATCCTTGGTGGGAATGAGCGACACTGTCATTACTGCCGACGAACAATGCATACTCCCCTATGCTCTTTATGCTCTACCATTTCCGCCGGAGATCCACTGTCCTGTGAGTATAATCTTCGTGATCCTTGATGTATTCGGCATGTCTCTGCACTTGGATGAGATCTCTGCACTTGTCGAACCATCTTTGGGTGCTGAAGCCCATGACGACTGATAGGGGTAAAAATGGCGATGTGACACGATATGACAGCAACCCCCTGAGCGACACGTTGCCCGAGGCACGCCATACCCTGCAGCAACTCGGCCTCCCACGCCACCAAAGGTACAGTCCTACCCTGCAGACAACCGCGTCAGGTAACATCAAACCTCCTCTATAAATACCCCTGAGTCCTAAGCAAAAGAAAGAGGAGGAACTCACTCAGACACAAAACACTCAGAGGCTCTTCTTCTGCCTCATCCATAATCCCCTCCACATCTTTCTCTAATTTGATCGTCGGAGGGGTCGGGCCGAGCTCCCGGCCCGACCTGTGTGCAGGTGCGAGACGGTGTCGCCTCTTCCTGAAGCTGCGGCAGAGCTGCCTCCCGACCCGAACCGCCGACCCGAACCACCGACCCGAACCGCCGACCCGACCTGCCGAACCGACCTCCCGACCCGAACCACCATGCTACGGCCGTCGGGAGACCCCAAGGGACGCCGCCCGAGATCCCCGACATCCGGACCCTCGAACCGAGCCGCGACGGCCCCGAGGCCACGGCTTAAAAAGTTACTTACCGTAACAGATTGGCGCTAGAAGGAGGGCCCGGAATGACGGTACGTTAGTCTTCTCCTTGGTTGCTCCACTGCAGCCGACCTGCACCAGCAGCAGCGACTTCTGGGGCTGGTCTCGGCCCCTCGGCCCCAC